GCTGGGGTTGTGGAGTGATGGGTGATGAAGGGCTTGTCTGCTACGGCATCACGGAGACGGCATGCAAATTTCCTGGGGTAAATGGGCTTGTCAGGTTCGGTGTCATGGTCATGGGCGGAACGTGCATGCGGGGAAACGAGAGGCAATCTACGGCGATTTTGACTGCTGGTCGTTCGTGGCATCTCTCGTCATGTCGCTGTGACTTCAACCCGAGCCTGCGTTTCCCCCAATGGGGACGGTTTGCCGACCTTGGCAAACAGTTTGCGGGGAAGTGGCAGTATCGCAAGACCCCCGGAGAAACCCGGCGTTTCCCTGGCGTCGGTCCGGGCCCGGTCAAGACAGAGCCAGAGCCGGCCGAGTCAAGTAACGATGAGATGGTCTCCGTTCAAGCGGAGCGTGGCCGCCCCCTCTCACAGCAAAGGGAGCAGGTTATGTTGTCCGACTTTCGCTATCTGAGGTGGACAAAGTTCAATATTGCCCCAAGCGTCAAGAGTCTGTTCGAGCAGCCCACGTGGTGCTGCCCTCACGTTCTCCGGCGTACTGCTGGAAAACAGGGTACCACGAGGACTCCAGAGCGGGCACGAGGACCGAGGAGCCAAGACCTTTTCTATCATCCCAGGCCTAGGAGTCCCCCCCCCAGGCATCGTCCCGGGACGTCCTGCGGAACCCAGGAACCCTCCGTGGGACCTCTTGGGACCTATCATCAACAACAACCCCAGCTCGGGAATTATACATGTCGCCTACAGACTCGTTCAAGCAGGAACCAGCGTCTCCTAGCGGTAGAGATGCCCCACACCACCGCTACCACGTTGGGGAGTGATTGGCGGTGACAGGGGATCGCCAGTGACGGGGACGGGGAAACACGCACTGCAGGTTGCCCTTCTCCTCACACGTGCTCTCTCTGCTCTCGACTCGATTGTTTGCCCCCCTCACCATGGCGGTGCGGATCAATGTCCCAGAAGAGAGACTTGGGAGCTTACCCGGGCCATTGGGTCTTCTGCAGGGAGCCATGGCACCGTCATCGGCGGCAGCTTCACCAGGTATAAAGGCGAGTCGGCCGCCTGGCCCAGCCGTGTCTCGCCATGTGATGTGATCGCCAGCTCCAGTTCGCAGTCCTCTCGTCCCACTCCGCCCTCCCTCAACGCTCACGATGAAGGGTTTTGCTCTCGCTGCCACCGCCGCTGCCGCCTTTGCGCCTACTGCTTTCGCGCAGTGGGCCGAGGCCGTCGGCAAGTCGATCAACTTCACGTCTGTGCCTGGCTACTTCCAGCAGGATGACCTGGCGACCAATCCCACGGGCTTCGACTATGTGAGTGCGCCGTGAACAGATGGAAAAAAGGCTGGCTGACCAAGTCTCCCGCTAACCTCGAAATCGCAGGCCACGACCAACTTTGGCCTCATCGATCGCGAGTACCCCACCGACAAGCACTTTGACCCCAAGGGCGAGAAGAGCCAGTGGCAGCGCTTCGAGGCCTGGCTCAGCTACCTGAACTCGGGCTGCCACAAGGACGGCAGCGTCACCTACAAGATCCTCTTCATGGGCCGCCACGGCGAGGGCTGGCACAACGCCGCCGAGTCCTTCTACGGTACTCCGGCCTGGAACGTACGTCCTCTATCCCTTGGTTTCGCATGGCCGTCTCTGCTTCAGAATCGGCCTCATGGAAGGGGAACGAGAATCGCTAATGGGGGAGCAGTGCTACTGGGCTGAGCAGCAGGGCAACGGCACGGCCGTCTGGGCCGACGCCCACCTCACCCCGCCGGCATCAACGAGGCCCTCAAGGCCAACAACTACTTCCGCGACCGCATCGCCACCCAGAAGATGCCCTACTTCGAGTCGTACTACGCGAGCCCCCTCGCCCGCTGCGGCCAGACGGCCAACTTCACCTTTGCCGGCCTCAACCAGCCCGCCGACCGCCCCTTCGTGCCCCTCGTCAAGGAGGGCTTCCGCGAGGGCATGACGGTGCACACGTGCAACTGGCGCGCCAACAAGACGTCCATCGCCACCGAGTTTCCCTTTTTCGAGTTCGAGGCCGGCTTCACCGAGTTTGACGAGCTCTGGCGCGAGGATGAGAACGAGACCAACGCTGCCAAGGACGCCCGCGCCCGCGCCGTCCTCGACGACGTCTTCCGCGCCGACGACAAGACGTGGCTCAGCATCACGAGCCACTCGGGCCAGATCACGAGCCTGCTCAAGGGCCTCAACCACCGCCCCTTCCGCCTCGCCACGGGCCAGATCATCCCCGTCCTCGTCAAGGCCGAGGCCGTTTCGCTACAGCCCACGGCCACGTTCCTCGCCCACGAGCCCTCAGCTACCTGCGATGCGCCGCCTGTGACGAGCCTTGCCGACAAGGGATGCGTGTGCGCCACGTCTACGTCGGCGGCGCTACCGGAGCCTACGGAGACTGACGAGTGCTCTGTGTGAGGCGCTGCCAGAGAGGAGATGAGAAGGATAGTTGATGGAAAATAATAGAATCGATTAAGTACAGCAAAAACAAATCATCTAGCATGTAAGGGGTGTTCCACACGTGAGCAGGTCGTCGGCGAGAAACACGATCTGTACCCCCTGGCCTCCTACACACGTAAGCCCATGGATCATGAACAGCCACGCCGCAATGCCCTCAGCCGTTGAAGCTCGGAGGTGGCTGGGAATATACATCGGCGCGGGATGTGCGTCTGCCATGCTTCGATCCCGGTTTGGTGTCGTGCTCAGTCTCCCCTGGCGATCCTTCGGCGCTGGTCACGTCAGAGGCGCAGGATCCTGCCCTCGAGTGATTTGGGGAGAAATCAAAGCCATTCGGCGACGACGATGACGATGAATCATTCCCCGGTGTGACGATCGAGGGAGTGCGTCGAGATGAGACGGCTGCTACACAGAGGAGATGGTCAGCACGGCGGCTCAGTAAAACGACATCTCGGGGCCCAGCGCTGTTACTCACCACCACCACCACCGCTGCCGCGAGGTCTATGTCGCCGACAGATTGCGAGCGCATTCTTCAGTAGATCGGCCTGCGTCTGGACCATCTTCCTCTCGGCCAGCACGTCCTCTGACTCTAGGGCGAGCTCTTCGACCCTTTCATCTTCCATGCGATTGACTCTGCCAGGGGTCAAGATGTCAGGCAGGCGGGTGATCAGACAACTCTCGAGCGCGAGGTACGCTACGTTCTCTGTGAAGGTCCGACGCGACATCTAGCAGAAGTGATTAGCGCCATCTCTAATGGAAGCACTCCATCAACGAGACAGAGGGAAAAAGGAAAGAAGCCCACCTCGTAATATGTCTCCATGTTGTCGATCGTCTGGTCAATGCCGAACTCATCCCTCAGCGACGGCGTCTTTTGAACAGTGCGAGCGACATCATAGCGATCCATGGTCCCCTCCACGATTCCCTCGGCCAGCGCGGATCCCATATTCTGAAGAACGTCGACAACGCGCTCAGTCACCCGCTCAACCTCCCTTATCGACATGGTCGAGTTGAACTCCGCCACAAGAGGCATTCCGAATCCGGCTTCATAAGGCAAAAGCAGCTCGTCCAGCTTGGCCTTAAGCTCCTTTTTTTTCTTTTCGAAGAAAACATCCACGCACGAGTGGAGGATTGCGTCCAGGGTCGTCTTGTCGTCACCGATGATATGTTCGAACAGCTGCTCCACGAACGACTTGCTCAGCTCGGTCACGACGTCCAGGTGGCGTTCGGCAATGCCTCGCCCAGGGCTTGGCCTGCGCCGGAACATCTGGATCGCGAGATCTGTGTTTGGTGACCCGGGGAATTCTCTTCCCTGGTTGGCGGCCGCGAGAGCCCCCATCTCTGTCTTGAGGGCCTCTTCAAAGACGGGCTCTGGCTCGGGAAACTGGAAATACTCCAATGCCTCCTGGAGATGCCCCGCGGCGGAGCGACGTCCTGTGACGGCGACGTCTCGCCAGGTGGGCCGCCGCGAAGAATCTGCTGGCTCATGCCCCTCGTCATCAGGATATGGTGGAACGCGCTGTTGAGGTTCGCAGTTCGCCGCAGCTTGCGGAGGTTTTTCTCGTCGAGGTCCCCAAAGAAGCGCTCGCCGTAGTTGCCACTGATGCGTCCCGCGATGCGCTGAAACTCCTCCGCAATGTCGACGAGGTCGCTCGCATCTCGGCTGCGTAGAGAATCCCTAGCCCAGCTGCTTGAGTATGCCTTCCTGTCCTCGATGCACGCTCAATGGCCGACACGAGGCCGGGCAGCGTCTTTGGATATGGCCGAGAAGAACCCTTTCCCAGCTTGCGCCGGAAGCTGCCAATGCCCTTGTTTCCAGGCGGGAAGTACGCCCAAGCACCCGTCTCGAAGAATTTGGCCTCGGTGGCGTCACGTTCATCGGCCGTCACGTCGCCCTCGTCTTCGGCCCTGTTCCTGAGAACGTGCCAGCCCAGGGTGAGCTGGTGCCTTGGTTCTTCGTTCCTGGCGAGCTGGAGGTATTTGGCTTCGTTAGAGAGACCTGGCTTTGGCACGTCGGGTTTCGTGATGACGCCTAGTGTACGCAGTCTCTTGGGATCGTGCTCCCTGGCCTCGTCGAGGATCCGCTGAGAGGCTAGCTGCGTGCTCGCCGAGAGCACTGCCAAAATGATGCTCTGTTCTTGAGCCATGTAGCTCTTGACGAGGCGGTTGACAACCTTGATGCCCTCGAGAGACTGCTCGCCCGTTGAAGAGTGGTAGAAACCGGGAAGGTCTACGAGTGTAAGAGATGGGACATCGGGTCCGGAAACCTCAATGCGCAGCACGTCTCGTGAGAAGCCGACATCTGATCCAGGGCGGATGCCCATGCGTTCCGTAGCCTCTTCGATTAGGGATGGAAGGCGGCTGAGGTCAAGTTCTTCCCGGTGGAAGGGCTCCTGATCTCCCGAAGACCCCTTGGCGAAGCGGATGGTGACATGAACATAGGAGGAGGAAGAGCGTCGGAGAACCAGCTCCGTGGCGAAACGCGTGCAGAGATCGCCTTTGACAGGAAAAGGGACGCGTGAGATTGCTTCTAGGACGGACGACTTGCCCGAGGACTGGTCGCCGACGACAATGATCTGTGGGAGACTGATGATGTCGCCCACGTTGATAGAACGCAGCTTGTCAATCGTGTCCAGGAGTGCCTTGGCCTCGGGGCTGTTGAGATCGTCCATGGCGGAAGCATCAAGGGCAACATTATCGGCAACTGTGGTAGCCATGTTTGAGTTGTACGAGTAGTAACGCGTGCGGAGGAGTTTGGTTGCCGCAGAGCAGAGGGGAAACAGCACGGACTAAAGGGATTACAATAAAAGTGACGCGCCTATTATGTCTTGATATTACGATGTAGAAGTAGGAGACAGAAGAGTGCAATGCAGTATTGGATCTGTTCAGCAGCAAAGAACTCTGGTGCGTGCAGTCCTTTTAACACGTTTCTTCTACCTGCTCGACATTTCTTACTCGACCATTCTTACTCGACATGAGATCAAGAACCTGGTGCTGTTGGTCATTCTTCCATTTGCCATCCCCCATGGTGTAGTTGCTGCATCGTTGTCATCCTATCTTTAGCAACAGTGTTGGTGCACACATGCAATATCAATGGCGGTTGGTAGCAGGTTTGGTGCCTGAAACCCATGGTCGTACTGACTGTGGGCAGAATGGACCGGAGTCATATGGCAGCTCCAACCAAATGGCAGACCCATGAGACAAATGTGGCTGGATGTCTGCAGGACCCTGGATTGCGTGATAGGTCTATGCCGTGGGCCAGCGCCTAAATCATTCGTGAACATGGGCGGAGCTACAGCCAACATGGTTGCATCCCAAGCTCAGCCTCTTTGGCGGCCAAGCGATGACCTGTCATGTCGAGATGCACTAGTCCCGGCCATGGCCGAATGTGGGTTCGCCATAAAACATTACAGGGGAACAGTACCTGAAGCCTATCTTCGGAACTGAAAGTTTAATTGCCTCTTCACCGTCTTGGCACTTCAGCCTTGGATGGTAGGTGAAAATGCTGCGTTTTTGAACTACCTTTTCAGCCCCGACTACTGCCTTGGCTGGGCGACTGGTACGCGACCGCAACACGGAGTTTAGGCACCTAAAGATGGCCTGCTTCTAGGACTACAAGAAGCATCTCAGACCTGATGTTTCAGCTAGCACCCAAACCACTTCCTCCCTCCAATATTGCAGCACTGGTTTCCTCGAATACCGATCTAACCAGAAGCCCCCGAAGTGCAGGCAAGTCCAAGGTTGCTTGGAGTACTGGCACACAACACCGTGTTGGCACCGCTGGGTGCTGTGACGCTGAACCGCTTCACCGTGATGCCACATGTTCCCGAAGGAGAGCAGTTGATGTTGGCTACGTTGTTCTTGTAGTGCCCCGAGGTGGTGCCGGTGAAGCCGTCAAGAACGATACCCTGCATGTTAGCCGCGGCAGGATGCGCCGCGCAGTCGGCCGTCGTGGTGGACTGGTAGCAGGTAAGGACGCGGAAGGCATAATCGCACTTGTCGCAGATGATGTCTTGCCATGTGACGTTGCTGACGCTGGCGCTGCCGTGGCCCGATGAACTGTCAAAGAACTTGATGCCGGCGGCCTTGTCCGAGCTGGCGACTGTGCAGTTCTTGAAGATGCTGTTCGTGACAACGTCGTTGGCCCCCGGGGTGCCGGCAAGGCTGCCGACGGAGAGGCCGTGCGAACCAGTGCAGGTGACGCCCTCGACATGCACCTGATCAGCTCCAGGCTTCAGAACCACGCAGTCATCGTCATTGGTGACCTGCGAGTTGAGCACCCTGACGTTCGATGCGGGCCCAATGTCAAAACCGTCAGTGTTGTGGGCGACGTTGGCCGAGGTGCTCACAGAGTGCAGAGTGAGATCGGAGTAAGTGATGTCTTTCGAGTTGCCGTTCGTGACGATGTGGAACATGGGCGCATCCTTCAGCGTGAACCCACTGAAGTGGATGTTATTGCATCCCTCGACCCGAATGAGCTTGGGCCGAACATAGTCGGTCGCTGTGATGATGTGGTCCCCTACTTTGGTGTTAGGAGGTCTGCTTTTATGTGCGAATGCCGACATAAAGACCACATGCTCGGCGGCTTTGGTGGCACTCACAGCTTGCTTGGCCGTTGCCGTTGATGGTGCCTGACCCTGTGATAGTCGCACCGGTGATCTTAGATAGGGAGATGACCTGTGATTTGCCGTTCCAGTAATTGAAATCGGTCGACACGGATAGCACGCCGTCTAGCTGCAGCGTACATCCAGTACAGCCGGCGAAAGACAGCTGACTGTTGATATGATAGGTTTGGTCAGCGGGAATCAGAATTGTGCCACTTGCGCAGCTCTTTATGGCAGACTGTATGGCCGGCACATCGTCAACAGTACTTGACCCGCCTGCTGTCGGGGTACACGTTGTGGCTCGGGGATGGAGGGCTACACGATCCGGTGTTAGGGGGACTGGCTCAGAAAAGGCAAGGCCATTGAGGCTACTCAAGAGGGCAGAGATGACGGTCAATCTTGTGAACATGGCTGCTAGAATCTGGGTGATGGCGTTCAAGAAGATGTATTTGAGAATGATCTTGAGAAGAATGGTCTTTTACGAAAGACGAAACTGTGACGGCTATATATACTGCTCGAAAGACAACCCTTCATGTGTCTGGGGTCTTTCGCAATGCCGATGCCGTGTTGTTAAGCATGCCGAACACTGATGATATTTTGCGCTAATGCCATATTGCCAAGAAGTCTGGACTCTTGGAACGCTGCAGTAGACTTGCATCACACTAGGGGCACCTGAGCATGAGTCGTCGTGTCAACATTGGTGGAACTCTGGGTGGTCTGTTTGCAACAGGGCTGTCAAGTGTGGTTCCCTTCTCGAAGCGGACGACAGGGAGGGGGGAGTGTCGGGTAAAGAGCCTTGACCCGGGCACCCACAGCAGCAGTAATGACTGATGCTGCAAGACTCATATGGGATTCGTACGCAAGACTACTTGACACTATCGTTTGATACCGTTCCGGACATATGAGTGACTATAGTTGTACCATACCTAAAGCCATTTGTAACTACCTGTAGTTGGCGCGTGCGTGAAGCTATGTGTAACTATGATTGGTCCCCAAGGTCAGTCATACGATGTCGAGCAGGATCCTCCCGCATGGCAGTGTCGTACTGACTTTTCCTGGACACGCTTTGCGGCAGCATCTGAAGCGCAAGTAGCTGAGACTACTCCATGAGGCCAAGAAACCGCATTGAGACAATGTGTAGATGCAATTGAAAATCATGCTGAATGTGTAGGCCGTAGGCCTCTGCAACCAATCTGATACCACCCCCCATGCGATGCATGCTTTGCGTCGCGTGGACATGGATCCGAACCGCCTCCCCATGTATAGTCTAATTGATTGTGTAGCCTTCATGCAATCTCATTGGAAACCACCGGCCCTGATGTCTAAATGCATCACCCATCCCGACAGGAAATCGACCATGGATGCACCACCTAGGCACGGATCACCGGCCGACTGGAGAGACGGCAGCCCGCTATGCCAAGACGGGATGGCGCAAGCCAAGACGCGCGTTCATCCTGACAGCTGCGGCACTTCCCCACCGACACATCGGAGCGTCGTCCTCGGCAGACCATGGCCATGACTAGCGATGGTAATGGAGATTATCGCCGCAGGTTTTCATCCGACTGTGCCGAGAAACCCATGGTACTGGAATTTTCCACGAAAGGAAAACGACAAAAGGGGCCCGCTTCAAAACCTAAAAGGAAGAGACCCAGCCGTTGCTCGCCGCAGGCCAGTTCTGACCTAGACAGTTGTCCTGTGGTGGAGGTCGTGAAGCTGAATCTGGGGTAAAGGAGGACTCCTTTTCCCCGCATCACTCATATCCTGGCCCATGGAAATTTGTCTACCTCAGAGGCTCTCGTGACTAGGCTCTCCCTCCACCCTAGACATGAGGAAGAAGCTCATCCATCACCTGGCTCGTACATGTAGGAGTAGTGCACAAGCCCCCGGATGTCCGGCACAGACGGAAAAACCAAGATGCGGCCCTAATCCATTTCCACGGGTCCCCGATAGATACGTTAGCATGTCATTGGCTCTCAAGCCATATGGCTGCAGGGATCCATGACCTGTCTCCTGTTCAAATTAAGCAGACCTTAATCTTGCGCCAAAACATGGAGATCATGAAGGATAGTAGCTCAGATGAGTAGAGACGATATAAGAAAGGATCACAGACCGCGTGAAAATATGAACTCAGAGCCCTTTTCCAACATCTCGACATCAGTCTCTCGCCACATTTGATCAATCATCATGCTCGTCTCAGTCAGTGCCTTGTCATTCGCATGGCTGGCGGCAGCTGTTCAAGGCGCCGTTTGTGCAGCACCAGCCAAGGCCTCAATTGTGCGCCCCAACATCAAGGCTTGGCCACTCAATCCCGGCAATCTTCACTTGAACTCCCCCGCTCGTTCAGCCGACAAAGTTTGCTATGTCAAGCCCAGTTGCGTTGGCAAGGACGACGCCGCCGCCATCCTCAAGGCTTTCCAGCAGTGCAACAATGGAGGAACGGTCGTTTTGGACCGCAACTACACCATCGCATCACCACTAGACTTGACGTTCCTGAATGCCATTGATGTTGCTATCACAGGCACCATCAATTTCAGTGACAACATGACGAGCTGGGCGGATCACATGTCCAAATACGCCTACCAGGATCCCTTGCATGTGGCGCTTCGGCGGTAAAGACGTCAACATCTACGGCCAAGGAGTGGGTGTCATCAACGGAAACGGTCAAGCGTGGTGGGATGCGTTTGCCGCCAACTCGGCTCTGCTCCGCCCGATTCTCTTCGTTGTTGACGGACTGCACGGTGGCTCAGTGACTGGCCTGAACATGCGCAATCCTCCTGATGTAAGTCACGTGTCCCAAGCGAACCTTTCGATGTGAGACCAGTGCACCAAGCTAATGATTACAAGTGGTTCAACTTGATCGCAAATAGCTCCAACATCGTTGTGAGCGACCTCGATCTGAGGGTCAAGGTAATGAATTCCCAAGACTTCGACATGGGTGCATCAACTGACAGATCCTCCAGAGCGTTAGCAAGAACATCGCTAAGAACACTGATGGCTGGGATACCTACCGTTCAGATTCCATCGTGATTCAGAACTCGGTCATTAACAACGGTGATGATTGCGTTTCATTCAAGCCCAACAGCACCAACATTGTGGTTCAAGGCCTCCAGTGCAACGGCTCTCACGGAATTTCCGTTGGTTCTCTGGGCCAGTACATTGACGAATTTGACATCGTGGAGAACGTCTATGTTTACAACATTTCGATGGCCAACGCCTCAGATGGAGCCCGTATCAAGGTCTGGCCGGGGATGTACACGCCTTTCCAGCCCACTTTGTCAGGTGGTGGCGGCTCAGGCTACGTCAAGAATATTACCTATGACGGCCTCTTCAACACCAATAACGACTGGGCAATTGAACTCACCCAATGCTATGGCCAGAAGAACCTGACCCTCTGCAATCAATATCCCGTGAGTTGAAAGAGAGGTCTCACTCAACACCAAAATGCAACGACTGACGTCCACAGTCGAACATGATCATCCAAGACGTTGTCTTCAAGAACATGTGGGGCACGACATCCAAGTCCCATGACCCTAATGTCGGCACGCTTGTCTGCAGCGCACCAGGGGTAAGCCAATGTGGGCGCTCGTCGTGTTGGAGAAAGGTAGCTGACCGTTCTCAACAGCTCTGCAAAAACATCCGAGCCCAAAATATTACCGTCACACCCCCGAGCGGTAAACCGGCCAAATTCATTTGCACCAACCTAGACAACTCACTGCTTGACATCACCTGCAGCTAAACTTTCGAGACTTGAGCGAATAGACTGTACATAAATTGGTGTAAGAAAAAGAACAGAATTAAGTGAACTGAAAGCAGTGATGATACAGTTGGATTAGGCTTGTGTTCTTGTCAGAAGTTGAATTTTTCTGTACTGCCTTGGGTTACGACACCCGTAGTTGGCTATCCGTCGATCCGTTCCTCATCAACGTGCATCTTTCTACCCACTCTATCAATTGTGCTCCCGCTTCTCTGCAGTTAGGAACTTGAAGCATCGTATCAGTAACTGTTGCGTTCAGCGAACAATACCCAACGCCCATTTGCTGGACGACCTTTGAGCCATTTACCTGATAGATGCGTTCGTCGGCCTTCGATTTCCTAGACCCAGGCTCACCAATCGGAATGCGACTTGCAGGCTCTGAATGGTGCTCTCTCGCTATGTCCGCTGCGGCCTGCCAGTCAAAGTGGTGAGCAACGAGATATCTCTGGCCGCTTGTCTCGGGTGTCTCAATAGCTGCCCTGGTGATCGCAGCACAGTCACCAGCGTCGACACAGCCACCAAATATAAGTGCTGGCATAGATATGGCATCAACGATTGCCCATAGCATAGCGCCGGTCGATGTTGTTTGTGTTGATCCAATTCGACCCAGGTGCGGCCCTAGGATCATAGAAGGATTGATGCAAACGAGATCAAAGCTCCGCTTATTCTGGCTGAACCAATCCCATACCGCGCGTTCTGAAAGAGACTTGGAAGCGATGTACAGTTCGCTGCGGTTCTCTATTGCCGCTGCCTCATCGGATGTGATCAGATTGAAATCTTTCTCCGAATACGCGTAGCCCTGTCGAAAGCCCTGAGCAGGGTTCAACATGGCCGAGAACGAGAACAAGTGAACAACTCTTCGGCATGAGAACGAAGTCAACCACGATACTGCATCCAGGGTGGCGATTGCACCTTGAATGGCAGGGTTCAGCATGTCCCGAATGTTGTCTTGACCAACGCCATGCACAGGGCTAGCGGTACGGATGACAGCTGTGATCGTATCGTCGAGGGCATCATTATACTTTTCAGAGTCCGTAATATCGGTCACGATTGCGATTTCTAACCGAGAACACCAGTAGCTGGGGAACGTTTCGCGAACTTTGTCACTGACATTCTGTGATCGTACAGCGCCTCTGACTCGGTAGTCGCTTTGTAAGAGTTCGTTGATGATATGCAGAGCAGTGTAGCTGTTTGCACCTATTACTAGAATCGTTTGCTCGGACGAAGACACCATTTTGAATGATGTTGATGACAGAAAGATTCTCTTGCCTGGTTTGAGTCATCAGGTCGAACATTTGTAAAATCTGATTTGATGGCCCTGGCAGGAGCATTTCACCCCTATCCGCCCTTGCTCAAGTGTGATTTGTCTTCAACCGCGATCTGGAGACCCCAGGCGAAAGTATGACACTTCAAAGAGTCTCCTATGAATTTATGCCTGTTCTCATTGGCCTCTGGCATTGCCAGGAACGGGGATGGTCCCTTAACTGGATCAGTCATTTTAATTAGCCATGTTCTGTTGCTCTTATGTTCAAAGATCGGATTGAGGGGACCTTGAAGGCCTGACACGGCTTTCCTTATCTAAGCGAGTTTATTTCGGCGACGTATTGAAGTTTCTTGGACGAACTATCGAACTGGCTATCAAGGTTCCGAGCCGACAACCGAGGAAGGATACAGGGCCTTCAGCGAGACCCTTGATAGGATCTGGCATGTCGCGTGGCTCGATCTGCGAATGGGACCCCAAAACGTGCACAATGAGGATCGCGGTTCGCATGCGGTTTGATCAGTTACGGCTTTCCGGGCTGGGAGGGCTGACATTTCAGATCTCAAGGGGGGTTGGACGCCCTGGACTCAACAATGCACTCAAAACGCCTCGCGAATGACTTCGCAGGTGTCAGTAAATGGAAGCCAAGTCCTAAGGAGCTTGGTTCTTGCAAAAAGAAGAAAAAGAAGAAAAGATGTATGAGTTGATTCTGCTTGACGATGATTCCATTCGCGGGTAACATCATGTAGTGAGGTGTTTTGCGGACCATTGAGGCAAATGGCACTCAACCATCATCATAACACCGCAGGTATCCACTAAGACGCAATGCGAATGTCACCTCACGCTTTTGGGTCCAGACCGTTGGAAAACAAGAACAAAATCAACCACGGATACAACCTTACCTGCAGGTACGACGGGTCAATTTACCCGAATTGGCAGGCTATGGATCCATATGCTTCTTTGAAGCACCCGGATGGTCAACAATGATAGGTGTCGGCGTCCTTTGTACCGGCATTCAGACGGATGTCAGGGCGTGGTAGAGAGACCGATGGACCACGTGCGATATGTTCTGGAATCAAGCGATGCATACTTAAGGCTCGGCGTGGCTGTTGGCTTCGGCTCATCGCGTCCATCCTCACCCAACGACAGTGATCGACACCCGACGAAATGCGTCTACCAAGCTTTCTTCTTGCCCTGCCCCTAGCAGCGGCGACAATTCAGGACGTTATCCAAGCCCGGGATGACGAGAATGCCGGAGGTACTCCGTCCCCGGTGATCAAAAGGTTCATTATTGAGGCAGAACCGGTGAGCTCTAGAACTTATCAACTCAGCTATGACGCTTCCAGCTGATTTCTCCATGATAGGGTACCCCGTTGGCCGACCTGTCGCGGAAAATTGAGGCGAACGGTATCAAGGTCTTGAAAGCTTTTGACTCGGATGTCTTTGCTGGGCTCAGTATCGAGACCGAACATGAAAATGTGGACTCTCTGCAGGAGGTCACCGAAGTAGCACGAGCTTGGCCTGTCAACAGGTTCAAGCTAGCAGCTGTCGACGTATCTACCTTAAGCCATGATGCCATGGCCGGGAATTGGTCTGTACACCAGGCCACCGGGGTAGACAAGCTTCATGAGGCGGGACTATTTGGCAAAGGTGTCAAGATTGGTGTCATCGACTCAGGGATCGATTACAATCATACAGCAGTGAGTGCTCCAGTGGAATGTTTGACTTATCTCGTTTGTTTCTTCGCAGCTCACTGGTTCTTATCAGCTTGGTGGAGGAATTGGGCCTGGGTTCAAGGTCATCGGTGGTTATGACTTGGTTGGCCAGAGTAAGCTCATTGAGCGGCTTTGATCCCGCCATGCCTGTTTTGCTGACCGCCCAACGCAGATTACAACGGCAAGAATGCCAAGGTGCCTGATGATGACCCAATGGACACAATCGGTCACGGTACTCATGTTGCTGGCATTATTGCTGCCAAAAGCGAGCAGTAAGTCGCCTGGACAGCCTCGACCACGGGCGTATGCATGCATGGACTAATCGGTTCCAGTAATGTCGGTGTTGCGCCAGAGGCGACGTTGCTGGCATTCAAGGTTTTCGGAGCTGTGAGACGCCATCGCTTGCAAAACGCTGAGGGACGGCCAATGTGCTGATTTCTACTTCTAGGTGGACGGAACTGATGAGGATTCATTGGTTGATGCACCCTCCATGGCGTATGAGGCTGGTGTGCGTGACTCCAAGTGTTGTCTTCCTCCTCAATTGCTTCCTCGGCACTAATCTCGGTTTCAGGTCGACATAATTACAGCAAGTGTGGCTCGCGCAGCGGGCTTTTCTGACGGTCCATGGGCCTCGATCTGCTCGAGAATTGTTGACAAGGGCGTTGTCGTTACCGTTGCGGCGGGAAACGACGGAGAAAACGGACCTTTTTACGCAAGCAGTGGCTCCTCTGGAAACAACGTATTAGCTATCGCTTCAGTCGAAACAGGTGTTGTTCCTGCGCGTCCGTGGAACGCAAAGTTCTCACTTGACGGAAAGTCCGACAATGTGCAGCTGGGCTACATCCCATCCGTCAACCGCCCTTTATGGAACATCACCGGTCTGCCAATCGTAGCCATCACTCTCAATGCATCAGTAGCAGATGACGCCTGCAAACTTCCAGCCGATACACGAGACCTTTCCGGTTCTGTTGTTCTCGTTCGGAAAGGCACTTGCAATCTGTACGACAAGCAAGACAATCTGGAAAGGTTTGGTGCTCGTTGGATTCTCCTCTACAACAATAACGACAGGCCGTTCTCGACAGTCATGACCTCTACCCGCAAGTCTCAGATGGTCATGATCGACTCAAAGACCGGCGCCACTATCATCGACGCCATCAAGGCTGGGGCTAATGTCACAGTCGACTTCACTGTCCCCAGAGATGACTCTTGGCGAGTAGGTTTTAATGACGTTGCCAGAGGTATCCCTTCCTACACCACGAGCTGGGGAGCCACCAACGAACTGCAAATCAAGCCAGATGTTGCCGGTCCCGGTGGCAAGATTTGGAGCACTGCGCCCGGTAATAAGTTTGCGCAAATGAGTGGAACCTCAATGGCGACGCCTTACATCGCTGGAGTGGCTGCGCTGTACATTAGCAAGTTTGGGGGCCGTTCTGTTCATGGATCTGGATTTGCGAAGCAGCTCGGAGACCGCATCATTGCCAGCGGTACTTCGGTTCCCTGGCAGATTTTCGAAGCAGTCGGCTTGCCCAAAGACTTTGGCTTTCTTGCTCCAGTTGCTCAGGTTGGGTCCGGCTTTATTAACGCCACGAAGGTCTTGGAGTATCAGACAACTCTGTCGTTCGAAAGGTTCAACCTCAACGACACCAATAACTTTGAGCGATACCACAAGGTGGACATCACGAACAAGGGCGAAAAGGACGTCACCTACACCTTCCGACTTGAGCCGGCCGGTGGCTTTAATGCCCAAGGGCGTACTCCTGGTCTCCTTGGCGATATCCTCGACACGCGCCCGAGTAACATGGTTCCGCGTGTGACCTTTCCAAGTGGAACCTTCCGCGTGCGAGCGGGCGAGACAAAGACAGCCCAGTGAGCATTATCTTTCATCTTCCAACAAGATCGCAACAAGATCGCAATGAATTCTAATCAAAGAACCAGGTTCAACTTCATGTACCCCGAGGTCGCAGATACATCTCTGTTGCCAATTTACAGTGGCAAAGTCATCATCGAGGGAAGCAATGGCGAGAGTCTCGGCATACCATATCTCGGTAAGCGATTTTGACCTTTAACCTGGTCATTTCTAATGCTGTCAGGTGCGGCTTTCGACCTCAAAAAGAGCCTCAGGCGTAACCTGTTCCCGGCATCTTACCCCTCCGCTCGCAGTGGCCCGAAGGGGGAGGGCATCGACAAATACCACAGGTGAGACCTCGGCGGCGCGGGTTTCTAATTGGCTGTTCCTGACAGAATATAGCTTCGCCTTCAACACAAGCAGAGCAGCTCAGGACTTCCCGAAAGTCTATGCCCAGTTCCGATGGGGAGTGAAGGAGCTTCGCTGGGACGTACGTCATACTAAGTGAAGCTGCAGACGCCACGCTGACAACAACCCTAGATCTATGATACAAACTACCAGGAAAAGAACTGGAAGTACCCTCCTGTCGTGGGCCAGAACGGCTACGTCGGCTCTGCCACATTCTCTCCCTATGCTTCTTCCTTTAGCAATTTCGATCCGGCCACGATGGACAAGAATCGTGTCCTTCCTTTCCCCGTAGGTGATATTGAACGTACCACGTCCTGGGAGGAAGCCACGGAACGGTTCTGGTGGCTAGGCAAGCTGGCCAACGGCACAGACATTGCGCCTGGCAATTACACGTAAGAAAACTTCCTGGCGCATGGGTTCTCTTCTTTTCTCGAGCTGACAAGGCCGATGTTGCGTAGAATGAGGTTCGCAGCTCGTCTTCCGTTCAGCAACCCTGATCATTCCGACAACTGGCATATCTGGGACACGCCTAAGATCCAGGTTCGACCTCTACAGTGAGAGGCCCGGTAGTGGCACTCACGACGCAGGGTGTAGATTAGTTGAACAAGAACGAAAGATAGCCCAGCTGGACGCAATCGCTCGTAGGAGTAATTAAACCCGAAAGACTGCCCCTCGCTCAGGAACATCAAACTCTAATTTGTGTCCGTCGCCCATGTCGGCTCCGCTGATTCATGACCCTGGCATGCTTTGTCACAGCCTTGGAGAAGCACGTCAGCCGCAAAAATGGAGAAAAAGAATCACTAGACTCGTTTGCCGTGCCTGGCATCCGAGCCTCCCATATAGATTAGTAGCCTAACCCCTCGCACGTGGAATGTGACCTCTTCCCCACACCACCGTGAGTGTGTGACCCGTCACCGTGGCGCTGCAAGGACTCCCCGCCCCGCATTTACCGAGCCCGAGCCGCTGAACTGCCCGTGGGGCCCCGGACCCCAAGTCATCCTCTCTATAATAACGTGTGCTTGTTCACCCAATACGACACTGAGGTTTTCCAATGCAGACAAGCTTTGACTCAACATGGCCGACTCACAGTTCACGTTCAGCAACCTAATTAACGGGGTGCTGAGGCCCGGTGCCTCGGTCACCCAGGGCATCAACCCTTCTGACAGAAAGCCGTTGTGGGATGTTCCCTTGGCTTCCCGACAGGATCTCGAAGACGCAGTCGCTGCGGCCAAGGATGCTTTCCCGGCTTGGAAGAAGACCACTTGGGCGGAGAGGAGTCGCATCGTTAGCGCGATACGCGACGTTCTGCTTGAGAATTCAGAGCAGATGGCGACTCTGCTGACCAAAGAGGTCGGCAAGCCAGTATGAGCTGTCTTGGAACGGGAAGGCGAGAGACTTGACTGATTGCTTCTCAGATCGAATTTGCGAGGATTGAGGTTGATCACTCTAGCAACTTCCTTCAATTCAACGGTACGCTCCCGAGTTTCCGTTAAGGCGAAATGGCTAACATTCAACAGCGGGATTGCCCGAGCCGGAGGAGAAGATCACGCTGGACGACGAAACACTCCGTCTCAGTATCAGACAGCAGCCAGTCGGCGTTGTCGTGGCTATCTGCCCCTGGAACTTTCCTCTGGTCCTGGCAGTGGCCAAGATCGCCGCGGCCTTGATTACCGGCAATTGCATCATTCTGAAGCCCTCGCCATTCACACCTTACTCCGTCCTCAAGTTCGCAGAGTTGACCAACCATCTCCTGCCGAAGGGTGTGCTCCAGGTGCTGCATGGCGATGCGAACCTCGGTCCGTGGATGTGCTCCCACCCCGGCGTCGACAAGATCACCTTCACTGGGTCCACAGCGACAGGCAAGAAGATCATGGTGAACGCCGCCGAGACGCTCAAGACCATCACTCTGGAGCTCGGCGGAAACAGCGCGAGTATCGTCTGCGGCGACGTCAACCCCAAGATCGTGGCGCCACAGGTTGCTATGGGGGCATTCTTCAACTCGGGCCAGTACTGTCTCGCGAGCAAGCGGATCTACGTCCACGAAAGCATCTACGATGAGTTCCTTGCCGAAATTGTCAGCACTGTGAAGGGCTGGAAGGTCGGGCCCACATCCGATCTCGAAGAAGGCATCATGCTGGGCCCCGTGCAGAACGAGATGCAGTACGGCATCGTGCACTCCTTCTTCAGTGAGGCTGTCGACAATGGGTTCAAGTTTGCGCTTGGAGGACCCATCCCCAAAGCCGAGGATGTCAAGAACTTTATTGTGCCGCCTGCCATCATCGACAACCCTCCGGACGAGTCCCTAGTTGTGAAAGGCGAGGCTTTCGGTATGTCTCACTATCCTCATCATCTTTCCTTGTCCCATACCCATTGGTTAATTTTGCAAAGGCCCCATTCTCCCGATTTTGAAGTGGTCTACCGAAGACGAGGTGCTCAAGCGCGTGAACGACACGCAAACGGGCTTGGGCGGTACTGTCTGGTCGTCTGACCTCGTGCGAGCGCGGGCCATCGCCGAGAGGGTCGAATCAGGCACCATCTGGATCAACAGCTTTGAGAAGCCGCTGCCGCACGCTCACCTCAACGGTCACAAGGAGAGCGGCGTCGGCGGCGAATGGGGAGCGGAGGGTCTGGGATCGTACCTCAAGCCACAGGTCATCCACTCGTACAAGGCTTCGCCAGTGTAGATTAGTGCGTGTTCCAAATTCCAAATTCAATGCATAAAGTACCGCCATCAGGCAACACGTTATTCATGTGTCAACCTCGGGCTCGGTAGTTACACTAGGCATAATCGCCAACATCCCGGCGAAGAAGCCGAAAACATGAGCCACGTTGTGACGTTTGGGGATGCGGGGGATTTCTCCACCCCCACCAAGTTGCTTTGACCCTCTAGTGCCCAGCTTATCCAGCTACCAGTTTGGTGAGCTGGGGGCTTCGGCAACTGGCATGCGGAGACTTGCCGTTCCCCACCGTGCCAGGGGTCTGATCTGGCCTAAAGTCGTGATAAAGAAGGTAACTTCATGCCGTCTTGACTCCCAAAACTTATCATTAGTATTCTTGGGCGGGGAAAACAAGTCATGGCATCATCGCAGTCAGCTTCTGTCGTGGTGGTGAGTGCTCTCATTCCCCTCTCCACTCAAGCTCACCATGACCAACCTGACTTGATTATCGCAGAGAGACGGGGCGAACTTTGAGTTCCAAGTCCGAGACGTTCCCATTCCAGAGATCAAACCCAGCGAGATCCTCGTGAAGCTCTCAGCGACCGGTGTCTGCGGAACAGATCTCGGTCTCGCGGCCGGCTACCTGGGTCCCAGCTGCGATATTCTGGGCCATGAAGGTGTCGGCCGCGCCGTCGCCGTGGGCGCCGCCGTCGACCCAGCCATCGCCAAGGTCGGCGACCGCATCGGCGTCACCTGGGTCCGCGACGCCTGCGGCCGCTGCTTCTCGTGTCGCGAGCCTGGCGGCGAGACGCGGTGCCTCGAGCAGCTCAACTCGGGACGCAAGATTGACGGCACCTTCGCCGAGTACTGCGTCGTCCCAGGGCGCTTCGCGCTCGTGTTGCCGGAGGATCCGGCGCTGCCTGACGAGCTCGTCGCGCCCGTGCTCTGCGGGGGCGTCACGGCGTACAAGGCGCTGAAGATTTGCGGTGCGACCCCTGGCCAGTGGGTCGTCATTTCTGGCGCCGCTGGCGGCGTCGGCGCCCTCGGCATCCAGTACGCCGTGGCCATGGGCTACCGCGTCGCTGCCATCGACGTGGGTACCGAGAGGAAAGATTACTGCCTTGGGCTCGGGGCCGAGATCTATCTCGATGCGCTGTCGAAGGATGTGGTTCAACAGTTGAAGGATGCCACGGATGGCGCTGGAGCCAAAGCCGTTATCGTGTCGTCTGGGTCGGGCGCGGCGTACCAGGCGGGCCTCGCCATGCTGGCCATGTTTGGAACTCTTGTTTGCGTTGGCATCCCGCCGCCGGGTCAAGGGCTGGACTTGCATCCTCTAGTTGTCATCGACAACAGTATCACGATCATCGGCAGTGCTGTGGGGACTCGGACAGATGTTATTGAGGCTCTCGAATTCGTGAAGAGGGGGCGCGTCAAGCCGTTAGTGAACCTCGTCAAGCTTGGGGACCTTGACCAGGTCATTCGCAAATTGGCAACGGTATGTACCCCACCTTCAACGTTCTTTATTCCGTGGCTGATACTTGTAGACCACCGGAAAATATGTCGTCAAGCTTTGATGCATTGGCTGCGGTCGTGAGATGAGGGGAGGCCGTCATTGAGATGGGCAACACTAGCATTGAGTGATACTATAACGCATTACTATTCAAAACTTTGGGGCCCGTATCAAATGAGGACGAATGTTCAAGCGGTAATAAATGTGCCATGTGTGGTTTGTCCAGTAATTTCAACACATTGTAGATGGGCATGCCTTCGAATCTTGCCTGGTCAATTGCCATCTTTGTTTCACATGGATATCTTGTTAATGATAAATTCTCACATCCAGGATCATCTTTCATATCAGGAATAGCAGTGGTGTAATTCTGTGAGGCTGATTTCACCCCCCGGAGGCTGACAGTAATTGCCTGATAGTCGTGGCAGCTTCGCATAGGTTACCTTGTCGCGATGGACCTCAGCCACGATGCCAGCTAGGATTGGCCACTGTTCCAAGAGGCTGGGATGAGCTTTGACGTCCGCATCAGCTAGTCAGGTGCACTTCGGGGTTTGATTCCCAGTTTATATCACCCACCTCTAGTCGAGCTTCACGTAACCTGCGGAGTTCGCTTACTACGCCTCGCTGCTACCTGACACATGAGCCAATACATTGAACGATGAGCCAGACACAATTGCCTAGGTTTCCTTCAGACATCGTCCGAGTATGACATCACACAGCCTTCAGCTGAAGCTGTGATTCTGAAAGTCTTAGTGAGAGTAAGATCAGAGTCCGGCATCAGCTGAGAGGCGGCTGCTCATCTCTTGTAAGATTCAATGGACCCCAACTTGAGGAATCAGTAACATCGCCTCGTGGGAGCCTCCTTTCGGCATTGCTGGTGTTTTCTTGCAGTCTACTATTGCTACGTTTTGATGGAAGGCAAAGGTTCAGTTTCGGTAACGGACCGTTGACTACACCGCTGGCTTCCCCCGATGTGTACGATGTACATGATCAAGTATTGGTCTTGTATCTTTTTGCACGTGGCACTGCCTCTTCATGCAAGATGAGATGACGTTAACTCGGAAGATATGTCTTTGTGCCAAGAATGAGGCTTGAATTGTGTTACTCTATCTGCGCCGCCGTTGGCGAACTAAAAGCCTCGAGATTGGAACGACCAGACAGACGTCAAGGACTGGCTGTGCTTCTGACATGTGACGACCTACCAGTCTCGTTACTCATATCAAGCCCATCATGCTGCTTCGAGAAGCTCAGTGATAAGAGCTGACATTTTCCTTCTTCCACGTGAACAGCGAATTTCAGAACGTCAGTCGGAGCTCAAGCAGCATGAAAAGTGGCTGAAGGGGACCTTTCTATATAACAGTGACCCATCACACGACCATCATTTACTCTTACGCCTTCTCTCGCCCAGATACAGATATTCGGCTACTTGACCCACCAAAAGAATTTCGAAATGGAATCCTATCATGATTTCATAGTTGTTGGAGGTGCGTTAAACTTGCCTCAGTGCTCACAGAGTAATGTCAGCTCACAAACACGACATTGGGCTTCATGCTCCTGAGCTTGACTTTGTTGACTAATTTGGTAGGCGGCCCCGCCGGATGTGCCACAGCTGTTGGCCTCGCGAAGTCTGCCCAAAGACCAACTGTTCTTCTTCTAGAAGCAGGCGGTCCGAACGAGGATCAGGCCCTGCGCGTAGACGGCCGGCGGTGGCTCAACTTTAAGAATGAAGAAGCCAACTGGAATTACCAGACGACGCCCCAAGAGCACTGCAACAATCGTGTCATCGACTATTCACGAGGAAAAGGACTTGGCGGCTCCTCGGCGATCAACTTCGGTGTCTTCAGCGTCGGGCCCAAGGACGACTATGACGAGTGGGCCCGCATCACAAACGATGATGCCTACGGCTGGCAAGCGATGCAAGCCCGATTCAAGCGCCTCGAGTCGTTCCACGGCAGCCCCCCCACCGGCATCGACGCAAAGTACGTCTCACACAAGGCTGAAAATCATGGTACCTCCGGACCACTGCATGTTGGCTACGCAGCCGAGTGGGAGAGAGATTTGACCCATTTGCTTGACGTGTTCGAGAAAGCCGGCTACCCGCTGAATACCGATCACAATTCCGGCAATCCACTCGGCGCATCAGTTGTGATTAACTCCAGCCATGCCGGACGTCGCACAATGGCTCAGGATATGTTGACGCCTGGCCTCGAAAACCTCGACGTGCTTACCGGAAGGCCTGTGCAGCGGCTCATTCTCGATGGCACCAAAGCCATTGGCGTAGAAGCAAACGGAATCAAGTGTACGTGCGATCTAGAATCCCCTTTTTGCTTCCCTCGGCGATACATGCTTAATCCCCCCCCACAGACTTCACTACTCGTGAGGTTATAGTGTGTGCTGGAGCCATGGACAGCCCGAAGATACTCATGCATAGCGGACTTGGTCCTCGGAAGCAGCTTCAGAGCTTCGGAATACCTGTCGTGGCTGATGTGCCAGCTCTCGGACAAAATCTACGCGATCACATGTTCTGTCCTCTCGCATTCTCTCGTGTGGAGGGAGATACCGATCGAGCTTTTTTCTACGGAGATCAAACGGCCATGGATGAGGCAACCAAGCAGTGGGAGGAGAGCGGCACAGGAGGCTGGTCAAAGTTTGCCTGCGAACTTGGCATTGGTTGGTTCAAGTCCCAGGGTTTGGTGCAATCGAAGGAGTTCGACGCGCTTCCAGCCGACGAAAAGGCCTACCTGAACAAGGCAACGATCCCGCATTTCGAGATTATCAGTCACTTTCCCATACACTGGTTCATCCCGGACTTTTCAAACGACAGGCTCAACTATTCCAACTTCTTAGTCTTTCACCAGAATGCGCTCAGCAAGGGCGAGGTCACACTTCAGTCTGCCGACCCGGGCGTTCCTCTCAAACTGGATCCAAGGTATCTGGAGTCACCGTTCGATCACCGGGTTGCAATAGAAGCACTGCGAGAAACACTCAAGCTTTGCAAACACGAGAGCTATGCCAAAAATACTACTGGCATCATCATCGGTCCGTCAGGAGATTCGGATGAAGAGCTGCTTGAATACTGGAAGGCCGCCGGATCTACATGTTGGCATATGACTGGCACTGCAAAAATGGGAGCCCCGGAAGATAGTGGCACAGTTGTTGACCATGACTTCCGGTTCGTGGGCATTCAGAACTTGCGCGTTGCTGACATGAGTGTCGTGCCGACTCTGCCAAACTGCCACACGCAGGTTGTGGCCTATTTGACTGGGGCTACGTGCGCGGACAAGTTGGTTGATGAATATAACTTGTCGTGAGTGAGGATGTGAATTTGTGCGGAGCATAGCAACCGATGCACTTCTGATTATGATGGCAAACACGTTGGAACTCATTAATGAATTGGAGTCACAATAATGAATTGAGTAACTTGCGGCTTCAAACTGATGCTCGTGCCCACAGGAAGCTTGTAGACCCAATTCGTCTCTCAACATCCTGCTCTGGCGGAATTGCTCTGGCGAAGGCAATCACGTCTCTATGACTAGTCGCAACATTTCAATGAAACGGCAAATTGCATCGCTCCATACGCGGGGTTGCTCAGAGGATCAAGGGGGCTTCTCCTGGTACAGTGGCCATAACTCTGGCGACTGAGGCCCTCAGGCCGCTTTGCTTGCGGACATCCATGCAACAATGAACAGTGCAGATTTGGCAGAGAATTTGGTTCCCGAAGTAGCGGAACTTAGGTTCGAGGGTTCGGCCTACACTACAGTCCCTCGCCAGGCCTCACCGTGCGTTAAGCACAAGCTGTAAGACCTACAGACGACATGACATTGAAAGTGTTAGTAGCTGAAGATGATAGCTATCGAAGGTGGCCACAGAATGTTCTAGTCAGAACATGAAAACAAGTATTCTACGTGGCATCACACAAGGTGATTTCTGGTTGGCACTTACAACATTTCAGCTTCCAAGACAAAATTTTCCCGTTGTGTAGGAGGTTCGCGTGGCGGGAAATATATCACCACAGTTTGAGTTCTGAACCTCGTATGGGATTTCCCAGGCAACGGGGACCTGATTGAAACGGCTTGGGGTTCTGCAGAGCGAGGTCTAATCGATCTCGTCGTGGTACCTCTGTCAAACTGCCTTCTCGCACATCAAAGCCTCTTTTACCATGCTCATTGCCACCCAGAGATTAACGCCCTCCTCCGTGAGGCCATGTCCATCGCAGAATCTGCTTCACGGAGCTTACAGTTATGACGAACCATCTGTGAAAATCTTCAGCCACTCGAACAATTACATCACTTGGGGTATTGTTCTCGAAATTCATCATGGCTTGGTATATCGCGGCAAGCTTATTTCCGGTTCTCTCTCAATGTATCCAATACGAGGGATAGCATCCTGACGTCGCGAAGAAACACTTCAGCTTCGGGCTTCCTCGTCGAATTTTCCCTGTCCATAGCAAACGGTGACGTCGAGAAACAGTATCGAGAAAAACCGCGCATCGCGATGGTCTCGGCGCCTTGGCCATGTCAGTGACGCAACAATGGGCATCCTCCGGGCCCTCGGCACCAGCACGCCCGCCGATCACAACATCGTTCCACACGCCTTGCAGAGCCGCTTGAGCAGCTAAAATAGTAGGCTAGTGGCGAAGGCCAGCAGGCGAGCCAGCGGTCGGTGAGTAATTCCTACAGCGAAGACCTTTCTCAGGTCGTGTGTGCGGGTATCGTTCGGGGCGGAGCGAAGACATCAGACGCGCGGGTCCAATGGGGCCTGACGCATTTATTACTGCGTGCAGCGGTCTGCGGGAGATATTCCTGGATGGACAGTACACTTCGTGGTGTGGCTGTCGTCACGAATAGCAGCAGTAATCAGGCCCTCTCGCGATACGAGGACGAAAAAAGCATAGCCGGGGTGTCCGGCCGAATGCCCAGGGTCACGGGATCATGCAGTCATTCGCCCTGGCATCGGCTCGTGTGGCTCGTCTCGTGTCCCCCAAGCGTCCTCTGACGGCGGTCATCCCTACAAGGTCAAAAATCAATAGTGTGCAAGAGGTGCCGGCAGTCAATTGATATATCCGAGCGAGATCTAAAAACGCCTCGCCGACTGACGGGGCTCACTCCCGTACGGTTCTCTCCGCAGCAGATGAGGTGGGATGAATTTCGTTTGTGTTCAATGAATGTCTCGGTAGGGTAGGCGTGTACTGCCCTGGGATGCGACCCTTCCCTTCCGACGAGAAGCTTAAAGAAATTGGCTCCATTATTTGAATAGACGTTGAAATAGCGTGGAATGTTGGGATCGAGCCCAGTGCCCGGACAGTTGGGATCTCTTTGTTTCCCTTGTCCTTTCTTCGCCTCGCTGTCTCACCACGGGCCCCTCCGCTCTTCCCTTTTGTCGCGACCCTTCTTCTGGTTCTAAGGATTGAGGGATGTTTTGTGCTGTGGACGCCGGATCAGGGCTGGCGTGCCCGTGACCAGGCGTCAATGTTCATCGTGATACGACGGTAGGCGAAGCGAACCGCCCGTTGGCGTAGCAGGCGCCTCCACCTCGAAGCCAAAGCCCCAGCACCCAAGACGATCCAGACCCAGAAATAAGCATCCAATCAGGGGGCCTGGAGGATATGCAGATAGAGGGTGGAAGAGAAGACGGGGGCCGTGAGAACCGCCAGAGGGGGGGGCGAAGAGGGTCGGCGCAGTTCCGTCCGTCGGTAAAAACGGTCCTCATCCTTGGGGCCCGCCGAGCTAACCGAAAAGGGGTAAATGGGGAGAGACCAAAGGGCGAGCGAGGCGCACGTTGTGCTGTCGCACGTTTGATTCCTAGTCGGGAGATTCCTCGCCTTGGTGGGCTTTTCTTTGTTCGGCTTCTACGGCCATCTTACGACCCTAGCCTGCCATCTGATCAACGGCCGCGCGTCTTGGCGGCCGCGTGGAGGCTCAGGAACCACCCTCTGCACCGGGCTCAAGGGGAAAAGTGGCAAGACAGGCAGGACAGGCGAAAGGTTGAGTTACACAACAGCTGTTTCGCGTCCCCAGTGCCTGGGGGAGAAGGCCAGTGAACCACCGCGCAGAAGAAGTAAAAATCGAAGGCGAAGAAGAACACATGGTGGGGCCGGCAAGACGAACTGGAGGGCTGAGGCTGGGCGGACTTGCGCTTGGATACGAACGACCGGGTCGCGGCACCTGTTGGTTGCACACAGAGCCACGTTGACCGGCGCCTAGCTTCTTTGCAGCCACCGTGTCTCTCTGGTCTGCAGCGCCTGGTTGCCAGGCAGCACAGACAGACGGAGAGTCAAAACCAGTCTGGAGGGGCTGGTCAACGTGAATTGACGTCAGGGTACACCCGCGCACGATGGTTGTGTGCACATGTGCCCGACTCTCCTCGGAGTCTCGTTCTTTTCTTAGGTATTCCCACCTGCAGCACCCCTGTTGATCTCTGTGTTGGCAAAATGATTGGGCGAGGCATCCTTACCAGTCCTCCGAGTCAGTAGGCATGATGGAGACATGACCGCGATGGTCGTATGGTTGTGAGGTAAACAGACGAACCAGAACTGGATTGAATTATTATCCCGACGATGGATCTAACAAGCCTGAACACATTCAGGTGGCTCGGTCGATCGATGGGCGCGTGGGCTAGCTCCTCTTCCCTCTCGATTTCATTCCAGTGCCCCATCTTGGTGGTTTCTGCCCCTTCTCGAAGGACCCCCCCTTAAGGATGCATAACCGGTATCTTTGTTCCACAACCCGCCCCCCCCCAATGACGATTTCAACAGTCGCTAGTGTGGGTGGAAGTTGGCAGCAGAGCCTACCCTACCCCTGACTAAAATGCCTAGCGTACCGGCTACTCAGTTCGCTATCAACCTGGCCACGAGGTGATCAGTGCGTCTGTCACTGATGACTTATGCCCTCATATCGCTACTCAAACTCTCCGAGAATGGGAGCTCGGAGGTGAGGTCGCTTTCTCAATTTGGATGAGCATTTAGGCTTTGCTCAGCCCAAATGGCTTTGATAACTTTGCACGGTCGACGGGGGTATCCCAGGGCATGACATATCGCTGTCCAGTGGTGGAATCCCGCGCCCTGGCCTCATCCCTGCTCGCCCTATGCAGCCCGCATCACCCCATGCTCGGATCGAACTGTATACTCTTGAGAGGGCTGGTTAACAACAGCACACAGGAGTGGAGGTCCCGTGCTGGTGGGCAGACGTGGCTCCCGGGCCTCGTATTACCTCGACCTACCTTTCTAGGGCCTCGTCTAGGGCCGAAAACTCTTGCAGGCCGTGCCTTTTGCCGGACACCCGTTGATGTCCTCACGCTCTCCACTGCGGGATGGAGGGAGGGGAGGGGCCATCTAGCCCGTGAGGCGCTGCCAGGGTACGAGGCGCCGAGTACGACGAGGGTGTCCATCGAGAAGGTTGTGGGTGTACCATGTACCATGTACATACGTGTGCTCCATCTAGAGTCATGAGAGCCGCGCCTTTAAAGGACCGCTGCTCGTGAGCGAATCCTTCTAACGGCAGGCTCTTGCTTCCCTTTCATCCCCATCTAAATACCCTTGAGTCGCTCGTTAAGACTTCCCTCTCCTTGGTTCGCCCTTCTCAACCGTCGTTTCCTCGATCCAGTCATTCGCTTACGGCACGAGAAACTTCGAACAAGTCAAGATGCGTGGTATCTTCCTGACCCTGGGCGCCCTTGCTCTGGCCACTGTTGAGGCCAACAAGTACCCCTACTGCGTACGTTTCACTGGTCTTCGAGCCCAAGGGAAAAAAAAACATCAGACGGCACATCAAACCCCCCAGTAGCATACTAACCAGCTTAACAGGAGAACGACAACTGCTACCGCAACCTCATCGACACTCGCTTCAAGTCTGAGGCTGATCAGCTCTGCCCTCAGTGGCTCGCCGGCACCACCACCGCCGCCGCCGCCGTTCCTACGGCGTTTAGCAATTGCGATGCCACGGCGCTGTCGTCTGCTTGCTCTTGCATCACCTACTGGAACACCCACGTCAGCAGCACCGCCGTTCCCACGCCCAGCTCCTCCTCTCCCGTTCTCTCCAGCACGGAGGCTTCCACCACCAACTACCCCGTTCCTTCCAGCCCGGCCTCGTCTCAGTACAGCGTGCCTTCGTCGAGCCAGCCTCCCGTCAGCTCCTCCATCACCTCTGACGCCCCCGCGCCTTCGAGCACCGAGACTGATCAATGCGATGAGTCCACCGAGGTGGAGTCCTCGCAACCTGCGACCTCTCACCCTGCGTCCTCGCAGCCGGTGTCCTCGCAGCCTGCCTCCACTCACCCTGCCTCTTCGCAGCCCGCTTCCTCGCACCCTGCCTCTTCGCAGCCCGCTTCCTCGCACCCTGCCTCTTCGCAGCCCGCTTCCTCGCACCCTGCCTCTTCGCAGCCCGACGTTCCCAACTGCCCCAACGGCCCTCACGTCACTACCGAGACCATTGCCGTCTCGACCACCATCTGCCCCGTCACTGAGGAGGTCCCTGTGCACACTCCCACCGCCGTCTACCCTGTTCCTCAGCCTTCTCAACCTGCTCCTGAGCAGCCTGAGCATCCCGAGCAGCCTGAGCAGCCCACTCACCCGGTCTACCCTGCTCCTGAGCCTTCTCACCCCGCTCCTGAGCAGCCCGGGCACCCTGCTCCTGGTCCCTCCAACCCTGTAATCGTTCCCGTGCCTGTTCCCTCTCACCCTGCTCCTGAGCACCCCGTTCCCGAGCAGCCTGAGCACCCCGCTCCCGCTCCTTCTCACCCTGCCCCCGAGAAGCCCGGGCAGCCTGCTCCTGCCCCTACCACGAAGGCCCCGGCCGTCACCCCTGTCACCACCCTCCACACCGCCGTTCCCACCGTTCCGGCTCCCGTTCCCACCACCTCCAGCCCTGTTGAGGTTGGTGAGAACGCCGCCGGCCGTCTCGGCTCTGGTATCGAGGTCCTCGCTGCCGCAGCTGCAATCATGTTCGCCCTCCTGTAAACAGGCTGAACATGGCGCCTCGTTTCCTTTTCATGACTATACTGTCCGGGTTTTGATGCCCTGTTCAAAGGGATGATTAGACTATTCTTTTAATAAGGGATGATTAGACTATTCTTTTAATCTTCACGATGTATATATTCATCATGACACTTTTTTTCTGTGGAGGATGGGACAGATAGGCAGTTCAAGACGAAAGGACAATCAATCTGTGGCCCAAAATATGAAGTGGATGTGTTCCCTGTGATGAAAAGGTGTGGGCAGTAGCAAAATGCTAGCACTGCTATTTGTTAAAGATGGATCCTGATTTGGGACGTCCTATGCAGAGTATAGAGGTGTCATCGTTCAAGTCGTATCTGTGAAGTCCATTGTATATTATATTCTTTCTACTTTTATGGCCTGTTGACTTTCAAGCCCGGCCTCTTCTATCAAGCGTTCAAGCCTTGCAGCCGCCCTCCAGGTGCAGCTCAAACTCGTAGCTGGAGAAGAGGAATGGCGCGACACCCTTGAGATCATTCTCGAACAGCGGCTGGCTTGCGTAGTACTGCGAATGCACTGTTAGCTCAGATCTTCGGATGCAATGCTAGGTTTTCGTTTCACTCACCTCAAAAGTGCCGTTCGAGCTCAAGCTGCCGGTCTGCACAGTCCACTCCCAGACGAGCGCGCCATCAGAGTCCCGTGGCACAGAAAATGTCTCCGTCATGAGCTCATAACCAGACAGCGCGGCGTTGAGGTACTTCTTGCCGTCGATGAGGCCAAGACGGAGACCCTTGAGCAGGCCGTAGACGAACATGGCCGAGCCGGAGCTCTCAATGTAGTTGCCCCACTCGTTCTCCAGGCCAGGGTCCATGACGAGGTACCAGCCCTTGGTCTTCTCGTCCTGGGCGGCGACAACGGCATCGGCGACGGACTGGAGGTAGCCGACGAGACGATCGTAGCCATCATGGTCCTTGGGGAACAGCTCGATAACGTCAACAAGAGCCATGATGTACCAGCCAACAGCGCGGCCCCAGACGTGAGGCGAGGCACCAGTCTCGGGATCGGCCCAGATGGACTTCTTGCTGTAGTCGAATCCGTGCAGAGGCAGGCCGTTAGTGCGGTTCCGGTCAACCGTGGTGCCGGCGTCGATGAGGTCAAACTGGAGGGCGATGTCGTCCCAGGCGGTCGAGTTGTCGGGCTCGAACTCGCGGGTCCAGCGGGCATAGAAGACGTCGAGCATGTAGATGCCGTCAAGCCACATCTGGTCGATGTAGACCGGGTAACGATGGTAGAAGCCGCCGTCGGGCGTGCGGTAAGTGCGGTCAATTTGCTTGCGCAGGGTCGAGGCAGCCGTCTTGTAAATCTCGTTGCCCGTCTTGTTGTAAATGTCGAGGAACGTGTGTCCGAAGCGGATGTCATCGATCGAGTTACTGTTGTTGTACAGCAAGATGGTGCCGTCCCACTCGGGGTAGAGGATGATATCGGTGGCGTGCTTGACGTAGTCAAGGTACTTCTGGTCGCCAGTGCGCTCGTACGCCAGCATGACGCCCGAGTAGAATGACGAGATAGTGTAGGCGTGAGTGGGCTCGACTCCATGCTTAATCTGGGAGTCGGCCATCCATGTCAGGTAGCGAGGCTTGCCCTTAAGATCGCCAGGTTGAATCTCGTCATCAGGGGCGATGGAGAACCAGCCGGTGGGTAGGTCGACCGCCGAAGCGAGTCCGGCAAAGACCGCGGTGGCTGCTGCGACGAAGGCGCTCTTCATGGTGATGGTTGTGAGATGACAGAAGATGGTGTCCTGGCTTCTTCGGAGCTGAGTACCTGTCGTCGATTGACCAGAGGCTTCTTATACAGCGGAAAGCCATCACCGCCGGCATCAATTCACAGGCGCCGAAATTGCCAAGAATCGTGTCCTTGCGAACATCAGCCATCGCTCGTCTCTGACTTCGGCCAGGTTCCGCCTTTTCCGAAACCGACATGGAACTTTTCACGACTCTGGAAGCAATTCAAAATCTCGCTCGTGCTGATGTCATAACGATCGACGAAGGGTCCAACGGCAACTGGCACGGAAAAGCCTGATTGTATACGCCGTGTCGTGGGCTCTTCTGCGGAGCTCACTGATCTCCCATCGCGGGGAAGATATGACGGCGTGGGGAATGTGACGGTAGTTCTGGAGATTAGATGCGGGGGAGGAATTTAAGCTTGTTTTTACAGGTCGACACGAGTGCTCTCCCCTGGAAGGAAACATATGTCCTCCTACTGTGAGCTTTGGGGTAGATGGTAGGCTAGTGCCGAGTCGGGGGGACGATCATCGTGAAAACAATCTTACACCAATCGGGCTGGTCATCGCCCGGGGGGGAGTCTGATCGAAATGTCTCTGCACAGCCACCTCGGCAGGGGGACACGGTGATCTGAAGCTATTCACGCAGGTCGAAGCGGTGGTTTGTGCTGGTAATGCTTATCCGCAGGGTCGTATCGTTTCCGTGCCTGCGTTCTTTTCCGAGGTTGCAAGATGCAATCAATATGCGGTGAATGGCGGAGATTTGAACAGTGAACCTAGGAGATGGCAGACATTCTAACTAGAATTGAGCTGTTTGCGAGTCGATCCCTGCATTATTGCACAAGAGAGTGAGGGGTTGAGCAAGAAGGCTGGGGTTACGGCCGCTCAGTTCGGCTTGGGGTAGCAAGGGTCTGAGAGGAGAAGATGTATTTTTTTTCCCCTCTCTCTCTCTCTTTGTAACGCGCAAGGCTGAAAGCTGTCGGCGTGGAATGCTGTACTGCTCTCGATCTTGCGGGTCCGATCGAATGTCTCAGCCCACTGGCACGGACCCTGAGAAGTTTTTCTCAACGACGCCAGAATTTGCTTTTGGCTTGGTTTGCAACTTAGACGAGTGACTTGACAGCTTGTTTGAGGAAAGTTCATACCATGGACGCTATGGAAAACAATGGTCGAGCACGAAAACTACACAAACCTCCAGGCCGAGAAAGAACACCACCGAGAAAGCAAATAAAATATCCGTACGAGTGGCCGGAACAAGTCATCACGTCATAAAGCCCTTCAACTCAGTGTGTGCCGTTGATCTTGATGCCCTCCAACTTCTTCTCCCTTCGCGCGAGCTCCTCAATCCTCTTCTTCGGCTCACTAACAGGCTTGACAGGCTTGGCCAAACCAAACACGGCGAGGAAATTGAAGAATAGAGCGTAGAAGAAGAGGAAAAGATGGACGGGTCCGAGTTGCATCATTGGCATCAGACCTAGGGTGAAGTTGTCTGTGATCAGAGTCAGCACATATCGTCGGCAAATCAATCCCCCTCGACAGCGCTTACTGAATAGACCCCTCCTTCTCGAAACAACTTCCCACATATCGTCGGTCATCACGTTCGTCGCACCCTCCCATGCCCAGGGACCGACCAGCCTGAACTTGACTGTGAAATTGGGGGCAGACGCCCAGATCCAGGGCAATCTCCAGAAGGGTCCGGTGCCTTTGGTCAGGCCTAGCCTCACAACATCCTTGATGCCCGGCACGGCATCCATGTCCTCGGCGAGCTGGAAAGCATAGCTGTCATGCTCGACTCCATATGTCAGTCTGGCGCTGGGTGGCGCGATGATGCGGTAGTGCCACTGGTCGTCAAGCTTCAACGGCTTCCTCACCCGACCGGCGAGGTTCAGAATCCAGAGCATGGCCTGCAGCTCCGACAGCGGCGGAATCGCACCGAAGCCAGGGCGAACGAATCCAATGAACCCGACCGTAGGATCGTCACGCCTCCAAATCTCGCGCACGTCGGCCTCATCGGCTCGCGGGTAGGGCTTGCGACCCGTGTTGGCCTTTGCCTCGAGAAAAGGGAAGCTCTGAAGATAGCCGGTCGCGAAGACGATGACATCAGGCTTGATGACCTCATCCTTAATGCGCTGATAGTCCTCGCCACCGTTGTCGCGGAAGTGGGCGACGCCATTGTCGTCAATATGCGTAGGATAGGGTGCAACGTCGATGAGGCGGTCGGCAACCTCGACTGGGGTGTGGACCATGAAGTTGCGGATGCGGTCGCCCAGTGTGGCGGGCTCGGTAGGGCGGTAGGGCGGCGAAATGTGCTTCGAGACCTTGGTCCAGGCCTTGTTGAAGAAGACTTTTGGGTTGGCTCAGTGTCAGTACATGCAATCTATTACGGGTAGCTTGCTACGGAGCCACTCACGGCGCGAAGCATGAAGACGTTCGGGAGCGACGGGCCCGACGAACTGGTCAAACCCGAGGGCTGTGCCGGTGGAAATCCAGCTGCTGCCGACGGCTACCGAGTCGTAGTGGTCCCACACGATCATAGAGTCTCGGGCGACAGGGTGCACGTAGCTCGTGTCAAAGAGCGACAGGTGGCTGACGTCGATGGGAAGGGAGCCATCGAGGAATGTCTTGTTCTCTTCTTCGGGGATCTCCCAGATGCTGGGAAGGAGGCGAGTATTGGCGATGCGCTGACCATAGCTGTGAGCTTGACGCTGTGGCTCTCGTACTCAGAAACCTGCTTACCTTTGGCGCTCCAAACCAACCGTGACGGTGGCACACGACGACTCTCTTGGTCGGCGCGTTGATGGCCAGGGCGCAGATATCGAAGCTTGTCTCGCCAACGCCGATGACCATAACGGTCTTGTCAACGCCAAACTGCTCACTATGCTTGAACTTCTCCGAGTGCATCACCACTGGCACATTCTCGACGCCCTTGAGGTCAGGAATGTTAGGTCGGTCATGGAGGCCGGAGCAGACGGCAACGGCATCACACTCCCATTCGATCTCTCCCTCGGGCGTCTCATATTTGATGACGTGGCCTGAAATATCACCGCGAACTACCGAGGCGACCTTCGTTGACAGATGAATATTCGGCCAGAGGCCGAACTCGGTCGCATACTCTTCAAGGTACTCGACGTAGCGTTCTGCTGAGAGGAAATCGGGGTCGTCGCGGCGGGGGCGAAAGTCCGAGAAGCTAGTCAGGAACTTCGACGACACGAGCTCAGCCTTTTCGTAGGTGTGGTGGAAGAAGATGCCGCCAATCTTGGGCGCAGCCTCGAATAGCTTCACCTCGATCCGCTGGTTCGGAAAGAGCTCCTGGGACTGCTTGAGGTACTTGAGTGTCACGAGACCCGAGGGACCTCCTCCGATAATTGCGATGCGCATTGTTCTTCAGCTGGCGACTGGGCTACTGGGCTGGGTGAATCGGGGTAACCTTGACAACAGGTGCCTGACAAAAAGGACCGAGGGCCGGGAAATGGAGGAGGGAGGAATGGGAAGGGTTCCCTGAACGGCTGGACGGGGGATTCCTCGCGCTCTCCCATTTTCTGAGCAGCCAGGCGGCCGCCTTGGACTGGGCCCGTTAGATCTAGGTTATTGCCCACTACTCAGTCTAGATCCAGACGAGAGGAGCGGCCAAAGCCAACGAAGCCCGGCGCCAGAGACCAACCGGGCCAGACAAGACGCAGTGACAGGACGACATAAAGAGGGTCCCGCAGGCCTGGCTCACATGTGTCCTGCCAGGACAGGGTTGCGATCAGGTTGGAGGGGCGAGACAGGGGCCAACTAGCGCATCGCATGCATGAACTTGTTGCCCCAAGAAGCGTATAAGCCGGCGCGGCCTAGCTCGTCCTGTGCGTGGAGCCAATGGATACCCCCATGGTTGGCACCTACGGAGTCTAGTCCGCCGTTCTGCAGCGCAGCGTAGCGTTCGGGTTTTGCGAGCTTTGTCTGGCGTGATGTCCAGGACTTTCTATACGTGGGCTGTTATGTGATATGGGACGAACGGAAAAGATTGGCTCACATGGAGTCTTGGATGGCATCATATTAACAGGCAAGCCAAGCGTTTTCACGCCGTAACCGCGCTGTCGGGAGGTGAGGGGTCACCCGCCTTAACGCACTCTATGACGGCGTGTCCATCGGGAGAGGTGTCTAATCCGTGGAAAGCAACTATCTTGAGACCAGCCTGGTTTGTGACCTCATGCCACATTGCCTTTGTGCGCTCCTTTCCACCCGACATGCACATGATGAAATCCATCCAGATAGCGAACTTGCTTGGCGGATTTGACATGATATACTCAGCGATGAGGAGTTTGCTATCATCAGCCATAGCCGCCGCCGTGTGCTTCATGATGCCAATGACGGCCTCATCACCATAATTATGGAGGCAGTGTCGAATGTAATAGATCAGTGCACCTAACGCTGTCAGTTCCGATTTAAACTCACGCAGAGACGCACCCCCAGGGCGCAAGTACCTTGAACTGGTTGCTCTTTATGAAAGTCGATCGCCATCAGTGTGGCTCCCCCCAGTCCCGAGTTGACATCTGCCTTATTGTGTTCAATGATTGGCGGTAGATCCTGCAGGACGCATCTGTCGAGCGTCAAAGGGGTGTTGCCATCGCAGAAGGTCTTCATAACGTGACCTTTGCCTCCGCCGACGTCGACGAGCAGCGGTCGGTCTGAAGGTACATTCTTCGCAGCCTCCGCGACCCAGTCGAAGTCGTAGAGCCCAAGATGAGGGCCCATGAGGGGCACTTGTTTGTCGACGTTTCGTCATGGCCTCCATGAAGGTTCTCATGCGCTTGGGATCCGAATTGAGGACCTCCCAGAATGCCTTATCAGGGGCGCCATGCGCAAGGTGAACGGAACATGTGCAGGCCCTACGGTTTCTTTCCGACCATAAATGCGGAAGTACTCAGGCATGGACTGCAGAACCCATGAATGAGTTGTCAAACCTAGGACCGTCAGAACTTATTGCTCTCCGACGACCTCTATGAGATAGGTGGTAAACTCACATTAATGACCACATGCTCCTGAGAGGGCCATGCTGCGTAATCTGTCTCGACCTTTCCGTATGAGCGACTCTATCCTCGCCGATCTGTTCGAGAAGTCCTGTAGACACCATAATCCATGCAAAACGAACTGCTATCAGTCAGATCATGCCATTCTACAAACGACGGAGTCAAGCACGCACGAACGAGCTGAACCTCGGCATCGACCTTGTCGGCGAGCTCCTGGTAAGTGATGCTGCCCTCGATAGGGATCGCTTCGAAAGCACCCCAATCAATGAACAGGCGCAGTGCTACAAACTCGGCACACGCAGCAGACTGGTTCATCCATTGCGGTTGCGGCGGGCGAGCGGCTTCAATTATGGCTTGCGCCGCCGCGACAATCTTGTTCCTCGCCGCCACATCATCGTCAACGTTGGAAATGGACGTATAGTCCAGCACCGAACTGAGAAGCTCAGGCGTCAGGCGGCGGAGATCATCACGGAACTGTGCCGTGTCGTTGTTGCTGGCGACCATGGCGGGTTTCGGAGGGCGTTGAGAACGATGGCTTGGGACAAGATTTGGATCTCGGCTCCACGGACGTCAAGGTTCGGGGGTCCAAGCAACGATTACCGAAACAACGGACGGGGAGATCACATCGCGCGGAACTCTGCCACATTGCGGGAAAGAAATCCCCTCATTCGGCCAGCAGGCGTTAGAGGGGAATCAGTGCCACTTAGCTTCTGATGCCCCTCCAGTCTGGGCCCCAACTACTGACACGTCGGATGGGCTGTTTAAAGTTCCCCACTGCATTGTGTGGAAACTTTCGGGGAACGGCGTGGACGCGATGCTGCTATAGGCGGCGGACGATGTGGGCTTGTTCTTTGTTGTAAGGGTTGCCGAAATGGCGGCCGTCAGCGTCTGTGGTGGTGTGGTCCTCTGGGCCTTTTCTCAACTTAGCGCTATGCAGGCCCGTGGAGAAGGATGCTGAAGATTGTCCCATGACCCAGATAACAGGGGCCGGGACTACCCGTCGTTTCCGCGACGTTTGTGGCATTGTGAACCATCTTGTCGGGTGCCCAGCAGCTGAAGACAGAATCTTAGGGAAAAGTGATCCAGGCTGCGGTTTGCTGAACAGGACATGCTCGACAACATCCCAGCGCATAATCATGGCCGAGCGTGTAGCAATAAGTCAAGTCGCCTTCACTGTACTCCCAGCCGGCTACTAGTGCGCGGGAGTTTGATGAGATTCCACTCCCACAACAGAGAGACATGTGTGTTGCTTGTGGGACGAAGGTGCTATAGCAAGCCGAATAACGTGCGCCAGGACAACGTGTGCTAACCCGTAGCTATACGGCACAAATTCTTTTGTGTCTGTAACCCTCATGGTCACTCTACCTGAAAATCATACCCTCTAGTATTGCCCTGCGGGTGGTATTCCTTTGCTTGTTGGTAGAAACCAGTACCCGCAGCCATTCCTGAGCATAGGTGAATCCGAGTCTACGTGAACGGCATCATCACTTTTCTGGCAAGATCATTCACGTGTCCACCCTAAGCCCATGAATAGAGATTGGCGTCAAGGGACGCTGTTGACTATTCTGAACTGCAATTTCTACGTAAATTCATGGTCAGGGCCAGGTCATGCCCGTGCCATTTGCACACCATTCACCGTCTCCGTCGACCACTCCAGTCCTTTTCTGCCCAGCGGCTGGAGACGATAAATAGAGAGACTGTTTTTGCTCGATGAGGGATTCCATTGATCAAAATAAAACATCATTGATAAAAAGGCAAAAACAGCCACTCTCGATCAGACAAGCAAAAAGACCACCACTGACTTGACGGGTACCATAACCCCTACATCAACAAAACAATGGGCTTCGAATGCTGTCTCTGCAGAAACCAGAGGGTCCTCATGAACAATCAGGTGTGCCCAACTCCCCTCATGTGCACCCACTTCAAGTGCGGCAATTGTCGTGGCGGCCACCCCAACCCGGGGCGGTGGACATGCTGCCACTGCGGTCAGGACCGCAACATCCCTGGTGAGAGATGCAAGAATCGTGCCGCCAAGCGGTGCGACCATCAGAAGTGCGACATTTGCGCCGAAGTCGGAGATGAGTACTCGAGAAACTATGTTTGGTAGGGGCTTTGGAATCATTCATGCTCTCCGGGGAGCAGTTGAAAGGGAGCTAGCGGAATGGCAGCACGTCTTAAGTGGCATGCTGCATCTCGCCATCCATCGTCCATGAGAGGAGGCTGGATTGTTAAACACTTGCTAGCTAGCCCATAAGGAGATGCAAACGCCCAAAGCAAAAGCAGAGGTCAGGAGAACAAGAATTAAATGACAAGCCTAACTCAAAAGCCCAAGGTGCTTTCCACGTTGTGAACTCTTGGGTGCGCTGAAATCTTCTACATCGCGAGGTGCGAATTGCAAATGGGGCTTCCAACAAAAGGCGGAATCCAGCAAAAGCGAAGGCCTCTGAAGAGGTGCGTCAGGAATTGAGCCCAACGGGGGGCTCGAACCCCCAACCTTGAGATTAAGAGTCTCACGCTCTACCGATTGAGCTAGCCGGGCAGGCAGGTTGCAACTGTTGAGAATATTGAGTCTCCGCAGTGGATCATAGCCGCTGTACACCATTGATCCCAGGTTCCTTACTCTAAACCCAGATCCGCTCAAGAGGTTGACTTGTTGCCTGCAGCATATTTTCAACTCATTGGGTGGGACATGTGAAAAGCTGCATTCAAGTATGCATATTCCCATAAGTTTGGAGATGATTGGGACAAATAGTCCACACCTGGATCACGACCCCAACGTTTCCGGTAATTCTTAGATGACCTACCTACAATGTACGACAAGCTCCGGGTATCAATGCAGTTTGATACTTCAGCGTTGATGCCAGACATGGACTCAAGCAGTGGAACGTAGTACACCGACGCACGAGTCCGCTACGTCGGAATCTCCCTTCGTTTGCTTCATGGTGTCCGCGCCAATGATACGCAACCCTACTACCTCAGAATCAATGATATACGGAGGTCGTCCATGTGGCCATCGCCATTGCTTGGTGCATGTGTTCCTTTCTTGAAGATGCTCCGCCTAGACTAATGCCATCGACCCATAAAAGAAGAGATCTAAAGCACCAACGTCTGTTGCTGAGCTGCACAGGATAGGCTTCGACTTCTTCGCTGCTATCCCGTTCCTTCCCTAAATTCGTCAGTTTTATACTGTCCACTGGGGTTCTTTCTCAGTTGGATGATTCACTTAGAGTTGCCCTCACTCACTGACGACCCAATTCTCTAAAAAGGCATGCCCTGTTGCCATTCACTTTCTGCAACCTTGCAAGTCACCTACTCTAAGCCCTTCCAACAATCACCACCTAAAAGCATAAGTCCAGCCTTGCAAAAGAAACCGTTTCACGCAAACACCCTGTCAACGGAGCTTTCAAGCAAGAAAGGCAACATTTCCCATCATGCTCAGTAAGCTTCTTGTCGGCCTCTTGGTCGCACACGCCTGGGCCTTCAGCTTCCAGCACCCAGCCATGTCGCTTGGCCGCGCCAAAGATGTGGTAGAGAGTCCAGACAGCACCAAGATCAACCGTTCAGTGGATGATCCGACCGCCCTCCCTTTCCGCATCTCCAACGGTTCCAGCATCATAATCACTGTTCCTGCTCTGGCAACCACAGAGGATGGCGATCATTTCACAGTTGAGAAAGCCAATGGATCCATCACTCATTGTGGAGGCTCTGTTTACGATTCCGTTCACACATCTACCGAATCCCCTCTTGTGTCTGACTGCACTGCTCTATTGGAATACTTTGATGCTGAGGACAGACGGTGGTTCCTGAATCCCGTTGAGGACTACCCGAAGCTCTTCACCCTCGCATCAACTGGCTCCTGTGCAGTCAAGGCCCTCGTATACGACCATACATACATCGGAAACGGTGATGGAGCAGCAATTCTCCGCCGCGCCCTTGACCTTGGCAATTCTGCCGTTGACGGACGCATTGAGGCTCGCGGAAACAAGTACTGCGACGAATGCTTTCAAGACTGTGGCGGTTTCCGCACCCAGACTCCCACCCAGTGGCAAGTTGAAGACCCGCATAAACCAGACCCCAACGCCGAGGAGAAGTCGGAAGTAGAAGACTGGGGTTTCCAAGGAAAGAACAGCAACGACACCGCACCAGACAACAGTGCACGCAGCATCGTCAGCAGCAAAGCCAAGCTCCTAGGAACGCGCGAAGACCACACCACTTGGACAGACCATGTCTTAAAAACTAATGATGGAAAAGAGGTCACTTTACAGGTCAATGCAGCAGTCAGGCGATCAGAAATGGTCCCCGGCGACGGCGGTGCTGAAAGCAATGACAGAGTCACTTATGTCCCGACCGAGAAATCCTCGACCAGATGTCACCCCATTACTGCCCAGAAACAGACGAAAGATCTGCTGGCTCGAACCGACGACTGCCGCGAACTTGTGTCAGTCCTCGCACACCCATCGTGGAACGGGTACTGGCTTTTCTCCCACGACGACGTTCAATGGTGTCACAAAGGATTTGGTACGGCTATCATTCAGCTGGGTACTTGCGTCTTCTCGGCGTGCCCTGTCGCCAGAATTGGAATGGGAAACGAGGACATCAAACGGTTCATCCAGAGCGGCATCGACAAAGTTGCCAGTGGCGACAATATGAGGGTCACAGGAGAGGGCGGGTGTGAGCTTGAGAGCAAACGGGACTGGAAGTTCGAGACAGAATGGATGGTCTTCGCCAAGGCCTCTCCCGGCCAGGTCTGATAAGAAAGGGTAGATATTGGAAAGATGGCGCGTTGTGATACCTTGAGTGAAGAGCATGCATGCCAGGTATAGCTTGGATGGCAGCTGCTAGATAGGAAGAAAATTGACATGGCGCTACGAGTATTTCAGTACCTTGATTGTGATGGCTTTTACGGTTGGGTAAAGCCGCTGCAGACTAGCAATTTTGGTTAGGAGCGATGACCTACTCGCGTGCTATGATATCTTGATGCTATCCAAACAAGCTGCGTAGCTCAGGTTCAGTCCCTTCTGTCAAGTGCCATTCCTGGAAGCTCGATGATTTGCTCAGGTATATTCGTGACAGTTTCTGACACCTCGAAAGGCCAGACGAGGACCCGAAAGACCAGGTGCAGATGATTGTCGTGGCGCAATCAGCAGCTGTAAACTTGTCACCTCGTGCTGCGGTGATGGCTGCCACATGCCGATCTCACTAGACGTGACAAGGAAAACTCATGGGAGCGTTGATACGGAGTCCGAAGATCTCAGCCACATCGTGTGACAACCGCTCGAACAGCTCACCGACCCGACGTCGCGCCCACTTCTCGCCCACTCTATCTATTGTTTCATGTTTCGTGTGGGCGCCAACACTCCTGAGCATTCTTTTCCTAGCTACCTCCCTGCATTCGTCAAGTTTGCTGCTCTCGATGCACTCTACTGATCCCAAGTAGCATACTATGTCCACACTGGGGTGTGGCCGGCGTCACACATTGGGAAGTCATGATCGTGACGGGAGGCTGCATATTCCAAGTCATCATCCGGGCTTGTTGGGTCTGCGTTTTCGCGATGATCGCCATGGCTTTGGAATTCGCGGATGCTCACTGGAGCCCAATGTCCCGAATCCCTTAGGAAGACCCCGTTCCGCCCACGAATTCGAAAGGGGATAGCTGCGTCGATCGTATCTGTAGCAGCGCTCTCGTGCGGTCTTCCGTCGGTGCCAGCCATGCTCTTACGTGTTTGCCGGTAAGCCCGTTATTGGAACTCTCAGGCAGAGCCGAGGTCAAGCAGGTTTCGTGGTGGCAAATCCCCGATGGCCGATCGTGAGCTTCGCAGCATACATATGGACCGGGTGACATCCGCAAGCTAGCCGAACAAACGAGAGCGGGATGTAGACTGGTGTTGAGCAAGCCTTCCGACGTTTTCGCAGTCCACAGCGCGCGTGGCGCTCGTTCAGCGAACAATCCACCGGCCGGCTCCGGGCCGAGAAGCCCACATCGGAATTCGCTTCCGACGATGCCTCTCTCCCAGGCAGGTCACAAGAGGTTCCGGCAGAGCTGGGACGATTGGCAATGAACAAGTATTCCATAAGATACATTGCCTGATCTATCTTCGTTTCATCCATACAATAACTAGTCCGGGATTTGTCGTGGTTCTACTCTTCGCGGGCGATCCTTGTTCATCGCAATGCCGGCCACCTCCGTCATGCTACACTGGGTTCATCATTTCGTCAGGCCAGAGGCCTTCCCGCCGCAGCCTTGAGCAGCTTCGATTTGTCTCCGTCGACATACGACTCAGCACCCAGCGGATAATGCGCCCCAAATAAGTGGCCGCGGCCCCCGTTGAGAGACGCGCGAATCCATACCCAGACGCGAGCCCGCCGCCTGCGTCACGCCACCCCAGCATGCACAAAGTCGACGCGGTGCGCAAAGTGCTCCGTCACCCTGGCGTAGCCGCTCAGCGGGCGCACTCGCCGTCATGACCCTCAGTCGACGCTCGGGTTCCAAACGTGAACACGTGCAGGCGCTCGGGCCATGGCGCTCCGCTTCTGCGCCTGGCCCGCGCTGTCCCGGATGAGCTTGTGCAGAGGGAGCCGCAGGATCAGGCAGCCCTGCGAGTGCGCCACCATGACGACCTTGGCGGGCGGCCTGGCGCCGTCGGCGGGCCACAGCGCGGCGGCGAGCTCGCGGGCGAGGACGTCCTGCGCGGCCCTGCTGCTCTGCGTGCGGTCGATGATCTCGTTGGCCTCGGCCGCGGCGGCGCTGCGCTCGCCGCAGCACTCGATGAGGTCCCAGAGGAAGCCGTCGCTCCGGTTGAAGACGCCGCGGACGTCGCGGCGGAACGTGTTGCGGAGCTTGTCGCACGAGCGCTGGAACCAGACGAATTCGTTTCGATGCCGTTGATGAAGAGCCACCGCTCGTCGGGGTAGATGGGTTTCCGCCCGTGCTCGAGGCGTGCGTCGTAGGTCGGAGGTGGCGGGTTGTTGGCCTTTGTCAAAGTCGCTGCGGAGGCGGGCGTTCATCTGCAGGTCGCCGAGGCCGCCCCGCGGAATTGGCCCCGCGGCCCATTTTGAGGATGGAGGTCAGGGTCAGGCCGACGCGCTGGATCTGATAGATGCAGGGCTCGGCGGTTCTCCTTCGCGGCGAAGGTCGAGTTCGTTGGAGGGGTTTGTCGGACCTCGCGTCGTCCTGGCCCGTTGGCGAAGCCAATGGGGAAACCGCGGGATGACGTTGCGGGTTTGAACATGTCGTAAAAAAAGGGTGAAGAGCTCAGACAGGTGGTTGAGGATAAAGTGAACGCTCGTGTCATTCGTGCCGTTGGTGAAGATGCCCCTCCATATCAAGGCTGCTCCGCTCAAGCTCTGGGTGAGGGCTTCGAGAGATCGATGGATCAGCAGGAGGAGGGTGTCGACAATGGCCGTGTCGCTCGCGGCGAGAAATATGTTTGTGGCGATCCTGAGGCTGATGATGGCTGAGGTCGTGGTGATGCCCACGATCCCGCCGACGATACCTTGAGCTAGCAGAGACATTGTTGAACGCGTAGCAACTGGCAAGGGCGCTTGAAAGGTGCAGACATGAGCGAAGCTGGTCCTCAGCGGCAGCCTTCTTGCCGGACGAGCCCCTTCATATGCCCACAGCATCGAACACTTTTGGTCGCATTCCGCAGACCAAGCGTGCACCAGGTGATGACCTGTATAATCACATGCATATCATCGGTCTTGCAAGCAATAAACTTTCAACACACAGGGCTGAGGTCGCTGGCTGACAACAGACGACGCCAGAGCACGACAAGAACGACTGCGGCGCAATGCGTGCCAATAGGCACCGAGCCGACTGAAACCTAGAGCGGTCAGCTCAGGATAAGGGCGGCATTATAGCTGAGCCTTGGAGACGTGGTGAGACGCCACCACATTTGGTGACACTGGCCCATGTATCCTCAGCCGCAGTCCTGATCGTGGGGCGGCCTCTCTTCTGCACTGCATTCTGCATTGTGCTGACATGCAGATTTCTGATCGATGTGAAAACCACTTCTGAGCTTTCTGGCATGTGACCAACGGCAGTCGGATGCATAGTATCCAGTCGGCGAAAGCGCTCAAGGCTGAATAAGGGGCGGGCAGGGCGCTGGAGATAATGGTGTATCGGGTAAGCCATGAAATGAATGTGTGGCTAACCATGAGCGTGTGCTGAATTGATCGAGGTCAGATTCTGTATGCTACGCTACGTAGACACAGCCCAGGATGCCCTGGTTCCTCTGGTGTCTCGTGTAACAAACAGAGCATTCCATCCCTCTCGGCGTTCACCACGTGAAACATGTCTGGGTAGCTCGACCGATCTCGCGCGTCCTCTCGACCCTGTCAATCGTCCTCCGGCACACACAAGATAGCCCCACATTATGGTTGTCGTATCGTCTATTTTGCTTTTCTACATCGTCTACAGTGAACACACACAACCCCAACCACCACGCCAGCTCACTGGTTGCCTAGCGTCTTGCCGAGCTCCTCGCCTCGCGCCGTCGCAGCCTTGACGGCCTTGTCGACGACATCGGCAAAGCCCGAGGCCTCGAAGCTCTGCAGACCGGCGTGCGTGGTGCCGTTCGGGCTCGTGACGTTCTTGCGCAGCTGGCTCGGCGCCTCGGGGGACTCGACGAGCATCTTGCCGGCGCCAAGGCACGTCTGGGCGGCGAGGCGCTTGGCCTGCTCGGGGGACAGGCCGAGACCGACGGCGCTGGCGATGAGGTGCTCGACCATGGCGAAGAAGTAGGCGGGGCCGGAGCCTGCGATGGTCAGCGCGCGGTCCAGGACAACATGTTGCCTAGGTAGGAGAGGAAAAGGGTGACTCACCAGAGAGGCCGGTGACGACGTCAATGAGCTCCTCCTTGTCCACCCACTCGGTCGCCTTGCTGACGCTCGCCATGAGCGACTTCGGTCAGTTGCCTCTCTGCCTCGGTGACGTCGCTCCCGGCGAAGAGGCCCGAGGCGCCCTCGCCGACGAGCGCGGGCGTGTTGGGCATGACGCGCACCACGTGGGGCACCCTGCCGTCGGGCAGCGTGAGCCACTTCTGCAGGGCGTCGAGGGTGATGCCGGCGGCGATGGACACGACGACGGGCAGGCGGTCGCGGCCGGCGACGGCGGCGGCGAGCTCCTCACACACGCCCTTGGCGACCTGGGGCTTGACGGCGAGCAGGGCAATGTCGGCGTCGGCAAAGGCGTCGGCGTTGGAGGTCGTCGTGTTGACGCCGAGGGCGGCCATCTTGTCGCGGTTGACCTCCCAGGGCTCGGCGACGGTGATGTGCTGCTTCGAGATGGACTTGGCCAGGAGACCGCCGATGATGGCGGCCGCCATGTTGCCGCCGCCGATGAAGGCGATCTTGCTGGACTGGAGGTCGGGCGCCATTGTGGGATGTGTGTAGGGGTCGCGGTGATGGGTATCTTGTGTGGGGTGAGAAGCAAGCAATGGGCACCTTAAGGTAGGCAGGTAGTATAGTGTGACTGGCGTTGAGGGGTAATTTGGTATTTGAAGTTTGGTCCGACTTCTGGGGGCGACGCGACGCGGGGCAGCGTGGGCTGCGTGCCGTCATCGGCCCCACAAGCCGACCCTCTTCGCTTGCGTCACCGAGGGCCGCCTTCGTCCACCGAGGATCGTTCGGTGAGGCCTCTGACTGGTTTGCTGCCATTGCACTGCGACGAGCATCATTGAGTTGCGTCTCTTCTGAACACATCGGACGACGAACTTGTCACAAAGGGCTGGAGCTTGGCGTGATATTCGCCGACATCGAGCTGGGCTTGGCGATCGAAGGGAAGTTGTGTGCTTATTGTCGTCGAACCGCTCGTGGGATCCGGCGTGTAGTCAAGGTCGAAAAAGCTGTCGGACACGGGGTTGCGTACACTGGTGACGATACCGAGCATCTTCTTGTCGGTCATTGTGTCGCCTCCACCAGGGCAGAAGCATCCATTCACTGCAGCCCCGTCGCTGACGTTGGGGCTTTGCTGTGGGGGCGAGGCTTCAGCAGAACGGTGGTGACGAACAAGATCGTGTAGCTCGAAAAGGATCTTTCGTCTGGTGAGACGGAGCTTGGTGCCGATACAGTATTGCCAGATGATGAGCTTGATCTCCGTCGGCAGGGAAGCCCAGCCGAACGGAGGGGGCGCCATGTGATGAATTGGGTGGGACTGAATTCTCTGTTGATTGAATAGACAAGATCAATCAGATTTTGATCAAACCACCTCAGTCGGCCGTGACGCTTCGTGTGTGGTGATGCAGGAAGGTGTGAGGGGGCGTGGCATACATCGTTGCAAAGCAGGCACGAACGATGTGTCTCGCAGCCGCCCTTGCAAAGAAAGGCAGGAGCGACGGCAGATGGCGACTTCTGCGTCACGCTGTCTAACGCATTCACCCTGACGTGTCGCTGTCAACAGGTAAACAAAGAGGGAAAAAGTCCACATCCTGAATAATACCTATCTATCTACCTCTACTCCAGTTTATCTCTGCTTCAGTTAAGCCAGCCATCTTAAGCTTGGGAACAGGCATGGTAGATAATAATCTAAGGAGGTAGTAAGCTTCCTCCTCCCCCTTGAAGTTTCCAGAAAAGGAACATTGTGTTGGAATGGGGATGTCTGCTTTCTCCTAGCTTTACCACAAACATAGACATTGATACATTCACTCGATGATGTGTGCTGCCAAGATGATTTGGTCTTCCATTGTCTTCCTCCCCCGCATCGCCTGTAGTTGCCCCGCAGCGAGCTCCGCCCCGCAGCACCCATGATGCTGCACTCTCCAAGTCATCAGTGAACGTAGGTACCTATTTACAATATGGCATCACCTCGTGCTGGTCTCAAATTCATCATTCATTGAATAAAATCATCATGGCCACACCACCGTACTATGCCCCCTGCCCTCATTGCTGCAGCCCACGACTAACATAACCCAGGCAGTACATTCTCGTCACGGGGGCCACAGGCTTCATTGGCGCCCATATCGTCGACGTCCTCTTATCCAGAGGGCTTCGCGTCAGGGGTGCCACGCGATCTTTGGCCAAGGGCCATCTCATGATGCAGTCCCGACCGCAGTACGCGTCGAAGCTCGACTTTGTGCAGGTGGCAGACTTTGCGGAAGGCGGTGACTTCGCCGAAGCCGTCAGAGACGTCGATGCCGTGGTTCATGTCGCCAGTGTGCGTGTTTCTTCACCAAGTTCGAGCCTACGAGCATCCTTCTTTTTTTTCTTTTCTTTTTTTTTTTTTTTTTTTTTTGCAGCGGCTCTCCTGCTTCCTCTCCAGAACGAAACGCTGACCGTCCCAGCCCTTCAGCTACGACACCAAGGACAACGAAAAGGAGCTCATCCTGCCCGCCATAGCCGGCGTCAAGGCCATCCTCGCCGCCGCCGCCTCGAACCCGAACATCACCCGCCTCGTCCTGACGTCCTCCTTCGCCTCCGTCATGGACGCCAACCGCGCGGCACCCCCCTACTTCACCTACACCGGCGACGACTGGAACCCGCTCACCTACGCCGAAGCCGCCGCCCCCGCCGCCCCCGCCGCCCCCGCCTTCCTCGCCTACCGCGGCTCCAAGCTCTTCGCCGAGCGCGCCGCCTGGGACTTTGTCGCGGCGCGTCATCCCGCCTTTTCCCTCGTGACGTTGTGCCCGCCCATGACGTTCGGGCCCGTCGTGCACCCCGTCGCGGGCGTCGACAGGCTCAACGAGTCGAACGCCATGCTGTGGAGGATTGCCATGGGCGAGTCGCCGCTTCCCGTCGCGAGGGTGCCGTTCTGGATCGACGTGCGGGACCTGGCGCGTGCGCACGTCGAGGCCGTGCTGAGGCCTGAAGTCGCCGGGAAGAGGCTTGTGCCTGCGGCGGCGGAGCGGTTCTCCTACGGCAAGGCGGCCGCGATCATGGTCGATGAATTCGACTGGGCGAAGGGCAAGGTGCAGGTCGAGGCGCAGAGCATTGACGAGTCACATGGTCTCGATGGGCAGACGGCTGCTGAGGCGTTGGGGCTGGAGTACCGCAGCTTCAGGCAGACGGTTGTCGATCTGGTCAGGCAGGCCTATGAGATGGATGCGAAGGCGTGACATGGTTTCTGGGAGGGTTGTGTTCCGTGACAAGTGCACCAACGTGCATGCAGACACGCTGCGAATCGACATGTCGGGTCATACGAGTGGGCTGTCCAGCCCGCTGATGCCTTACCAATAAATGCTGGATGCTCTCGCAGTCGATGCTGACTCGTCTCGCCCTTCCTCTGCTCTCTTACCTCTACTGTATTTCATCTACGTCCTTCCGACGAACAATTGTTCATCGCGTACAGAGTCTTCATAGATGAAGCAACGTCTCCGACGCTGTTCTTTGATTCGATCAGAAATTCCACGACATCTCCGTCATGGCGGAGGTCATCGGTATCGTGTCTGGCAGCCTCGCGTTCGCCGAAGCGACCGCCGGCTCCGTCCGCGGTATAATCCGCCTACGACAACTCTGGAACGACGTCAAGGATGTTCCAAGAGCCATAGAAGAGCTCATGACGCAGATCGAAGGCCTCGACCATATTCTCTGGAGCCTAGAAAGGAACTGCAATGATGAGACCTTGTTTCTATCCTCAGCCGACGATGAAATGCTCAAAAAAAGCACACATTACTGTCGCCAGACGTTGAACCAGTTTACGCGACTTGTTGACGATTTGACGTTCGATGTGAATGCCGCGAGGGGTTTCTCTAGAAGGACCAAGGCAAAGCTCATGGTCGTCCTCAGCAAGAGCACCCTGGCGCAGTATGAGCAGCGAATGCGAGATGCCATCCTCAACTTGGGCATAGCACAGTCGTTCTGCACACAGTGAGTGCCTCTGAGTGGCTATTGGCGAAGATGGTCTACTGAAGTGAGATACAGAGAACTTGTGAAGACAAACATCAAACTGGCCCATGAGACGAAAATGCTGCTCACACAGGGATATACGAATGCCCATGTCTCGACAGCATCAGCTGGTGCCGCCCGGGATGAAAAGTCCATACTTTGGAAGGCTGGTCCCGACTCAATGTCAAAGAGCCGATCTTTGTCAATTTGGAAACCCCGACCATTTCCCAAGGCTGGCCCGTTCGGGCGCTTCTCTTACGAGACGCTAGACGACGAGAGCGAGGTTGATGATGCCTATCAGTCTGCGCCTCACAGTCGTGAGTAGTACGCTGCAGCCTACAATCCAGAAGCAATATCTGATAAATATAACTAGGCTACGCCATCCACGTTCAGCTGCCCAGCTGGCTGTTCTGCAAAGCATGGGAGTACCAGGTGTCAAAATCAGCCGCTGGCTGGCAGACCAATCTGCAGGTGTGGAACATACGACCGGATTCGAGTCTTGTGTTCGAGTACGCATATGATGGAGAACTCGAACTTCTGCGGAAAATGTTCAATAAGGGCCTTGCTTCACCGTTTGATCGTACAGACAACGGCTTGACTCTTTTGCATGTTCGTTACAACACAACCAATGAATCGAGATACTGGTTTCGCTAACGTCATATTGAAGGCAGCAGCCATGGGATGCAGCATCGAGGTAGTCAAGGCGCTTGTCACTATGGGGGTTGATGCATTCGCCCTGAACGACACGGGTTATTCCGCCCTGCACATGATCGTTTATCGGTTTCCCAGAAGGTCAGCGCAGGATCACGATGCGTTCATAAACCAATTTCTCGGCGTCGTCGATATGTGGGACATCAACCACTTCTCCACGCAGATCCAATTGTGCTGGTTCGTAGAAAGACTATGTCGGGACGGATTCAACGACATCGTTACCATGGGGATGAAATTTGGTCACACGATCGATGATGGTCAAAATCCGGGCGAGCGGTTAAGCAGTATTTACAGGGTCATGAGTCATTTCCACGCCAACCACATGAGGCTCGCACTTCGCCTCGGACCAGAGAACGAGAGGATCAAAGCAGTCGATGTGCGTTCGTCGATTGAAAGAGGAGTGTCGTTCCTTCATGGTGTATCTCTCTGGTACGGTATGACTTCCATGGCGACAGATGCTGATGTGAGAGGTCCAGAAGCTCGAAAGCTGGTCTCCGAGACCATTCAGGCCAGTGATGACATCCATCTCCTCAGAGATGGCATCTTGTGCAGTATCACGAACGATGACGGCGATAGTTTGTTTAATTATAGGGTAGGTAGTGGGTGGAACGTGAAGGAAACTCCCTTTGTATTGTTTCTACGAGGAAGTTATTTCTTCTCATCGAGTCATGCACCCCATGGTCAAGTTTTGTCCCAGAAATGGAAATATGACCGCCAAGTATCTGGCATGAGGACCCAGGCTCGGGATTGGGCCAGAATACTAGACGAGTCAGGTTTCGACTTATGCCGGCATGGCCTCCGGGAAAACCTGCTTCTGCAAGAATCAGGGCAACTTGGTAATCGGTGGAAGGCTCACGTTGAGTGGTTCAAGTTTGGGGAAGGCGTCGGATGGACCGAACCTACGACGCTTGCGGAGCCAAAGCTACTCGAGCTTCGATACGGCCCGCGGCCGGAGGACTGGGACCTGATATGGGACATGGATGTCGAAGAGCTTGCTGGCGACTTTTGGGAGATGATTGATGAAATGCCTCTCCCGATCCCAGGCGCCTGGGTGGATGACTGACGGAAGAATGATACTTCTGACCTGATTCTCATATCGATGAGCGGATGACTCCTAGCCTTCCGAGGCAAAACACGCGATGCCGGCTTGCCATCTAACCCAGCAGTGACGTGGCATCTCTCATAACGATCAACTCAGAAAGAATTATTTTCAAGGCAGATAATGAGATGCGACGCCTAACCAGACATTCCGAATCGACAATGATTCGAGCCCTAACAACTTGCCATGTCTGATATTATACCGTTCGTGACTGGTGTGTTATGGCTACCTTCGTGTCGCTTATTACACGATGAATACGACGAGGCAAGAGAGATTCAAAAGTTCGCCAGGCTATACGAGATGTAAAGATTTTGATACGGAAGCAACCGGTATAATATACACCACGGATGAATTACACATTGCCACCCGGAGGTAACCCCAGCAGAAAAACGCCCCCAACGCCCCATGCTAACCACCAATTTTTGACCGCAAGCAGCCGAAGTTCCTAGGGCCCCGGAAATGAAAACAGATTTCGTACATTATTACAGCATCTCCAAGGGGCCTTGCCAAAGGACATGCTTTGGGCCGATCTCGATGTGGCCCGTCTTCCTGGAGCAAAACCAATGCAACCAAAGGGCCTCGGGAAAACTTATTGGATGCAGAGGGCTGCGGGGCGGCCAAAAGTGGGCCGGGGCCCTTTCTGGTTGCCCGGGGCGGGCTTCGGGCGTTGAAAAAAGGCCTTGTGGGCCCCGGACGAGCAGCCGGGGGCTCGCGCGTCAGCATCTGGGGTGACGTAGTTCATGGCAATGTCCTCGCAGTTGAGGTTGTCGTCGACGTGCTCGCGGATCCATGGCCATGGTGGGGTCGTCGGACGAGTAGTACTCGGAGGAAGGGCAACGTGGACGAAGGCGAGGTTCGTGATGATCATGCTGTAGGCGTCGGCGCCCCGCGCGCACATGCGGTACTGCCACTCGCCGTTCTTGCCGACGCCGGTGCAGCGGCCCATGGCGCCGGTGAGGCCGCGGCGGCCGAAGCGGCGCCAGGCTTGGAAGGCGAACTCGAGGTCGCGCGGGTAGTAGTAGACGTCGGAATCGTCGAAGAGAAGCACGGCCTGCGTCGCGAACGAGGGGTCCGGCAGGAGCTTCTGGTTGAGCGAGTTGCGCGGCGAGGCGCGGTAGCGGACGGGCACGCCGTGCGCCGAGGTGTAGTTCTGCGGCGGCGCCTGGTCGAGGTTGTTCCAGATGATGACGATTTCGTGGAGCGAGGGGATGGGGTCCTTGAGGAGCACGTGCAGGGTCTCGTTGAGCTCCTTGGGGCGACGGTACGTCTGCATGGCGATGCTGGTGCGTGTCAGATACATCACGAGTTCCTGGGTATGTGACAGGAGGGCAGACATACGTGAATTTATCGTCCCGCAGGTGGGCGTACTTCACATCCGTAGCATTCAAGAAAGCATCGGCCAGCGTGTGATTCAGCGTGTCGCTGTTGTCGTCGGCATGGCATGCGGCGATGCGTGGGCCCTTGTGCCCGCCGTGGGCCTTGTCATTGATGGTCTTTGCAATCTCCTTGATGCGGGCGGTCGAAGGTGCGCCGTGCAGGCTGAGGAAGAGACCAAACACGGCGGTCAGGCCAATGGCGAAAACGATGGTGACGATCTTCTGGATGCGGCGGTTTCCGAGGTAAGACTCAACAGCGGCTGTGTTGAGATTGAGCTTCGACATGATGGACATGCTCCTGGGGTGAGGCGCCTATGGAGAATCTGGTGATAAGAGAGTGGATGGCGAGCCAGGAAGGCAGCCTTGGGTAACGGCGGGGTCAACGATGTGGACTCTGCCTCTTCTCTGTTGACGATGTGAAAGACGATCAAGCGACACGAGTCCAGAGGAGACGGAGGAAGAGAGAAGAAAAAAGAAAGGGGGACGAGGCAGGCCAAGAAAGACAAGAAGCAAACAGATAAGACGAGTTGAACCAAGGCGGGCGCAGAGAGAACGATGTACGCGGGCGGATGCTGTGGAGGACCAGCAAACTGATAAGGGCCAGGGGGCGGATCCATGGGAACTTCTACTCCTGACGTTGGTTGATTCGGACCAGATACCCTGCACAGTACCAGAAAAGCAGTGACACTAATCGTGGATCATGAGCTAAGAAAGGCAAGGTAGGTCGGTAGCTTGCTCTGAAAACAACGGTCGCCGTTCTTCTTGGTTGAGGCCCGCTGTATCCGCTTCGTCTTCTGCGTCTGTTGGTTCTTGGCCGGCGGGGGGGGCCAAGATGACGGTCAGCCAGCAGGGCTATGAGAAGATGTTGTTTCGTCACCGTGCCGGGGGCTAGCGGCGAGGGAAAGAAAAGAGAAAAGAAAGAGATCTGTGTCTCCCCAACCGTCGCGGTGTTTCAATCTGTTGCTTGTTCTGTGTTTCCACATGTTGTTTTCCTGTATGGCCTCACCCTGTCGAACGATGTCATGGTACCCTGTCCAACTGCGATCCACATTTTCAGGGGAGCGGACATCCATCTCCCAGAGCCGTTGACGGTTTGCGATGGCTTCCCGTCGGTACTTATCTCAGCGGGTTCCCATGGCGCGGGGCATGATACTCATTTTTCTGCGAGAACATACAGAGCACGTGCCTCTGCTGTCGATGCCAAAGACACGGTGACACGTTGACAGTCTCCCGTTGTACCGTCGCCTCAGAATCCCATTCTCGCCCCTCGACGCCGGGTTGGGCCTCCAAACACACTCGATAGCCGGCTTGGGCGTGATGAGGTGAGGTCAGCATGATGGCTCCAACAGCCCAACGTGCTCCAATACTCTTTTCCCTATCCAAGCGAAAGCCCCCCTGTACATCCCCTGCACAGCGCCGCCGCATCGCATCCCCCCCCACTGCACCTTGGAAGCCGGGCCAGGGGGCTGCCCACTGGGGAATAATCGCTATCTCTGTATCCCGTGCACCGTGCCCGTCGCATGCCTCGATCCTTGTCGCGATAGGAGGTGAAGCGACAGGGGGCCAGCCTGGGCTCGAAATCTTTGCCTGGCCCGTTGTTCCACGGGGGGGGCTCGGCATTGCCCTGGCTTGCGGAGGATGGAGGCACGCCACGCCGCGTGTTCGGCAGCGTCAGAGGGTCCCGCACGTGGGGCCTTGGTGTCGGGCATTTCGTGATGTCTGGCAGTTTGTCGGCGTGTTCAGTTCAAGGCATTTAGTGGCCGCAAATAGGCGGACTGCGTGAGGGAAACGCATACCATGGAGATGCTTCGTCTCTCTGCCCACCTACCCGGCCATACCCAAGCACAGCCAAGATATCGAGAGCAGCGCCTAGATACCGAGAGATACCAAGAAAGATACCACATCCGCCTTCGACCAATCGCCAGCGACCCGAGAGCGTCCCTCTTATCGCCCAATCACAGTACCGCCCATCATACTCCCCCAAAACCCTCCTTTTCTCCCATGTTCATTCAGGACGCACACAGTGTCTCTGGCCATGTCCGCGCTCCCGGATGGGCGCTCCATCCATCTTGGGACCCAGCAAACACTCTGCCATGACAGTGGCACGGAGCCTTGGCAAACGAGACATGCCGTCTTGGCTCTGGGTTGCCTCCACCCTCGAGGCCCGCCCCTCAGAGATCAACTTGCAATCTGACCGTGATGATCATGGCACCTCTCACTCCACCCCCCTAATTTCCCCAAAAGGGGGTCGTTATCGTCTGTTGCGTGTCGCCGGGGTTGTCTACGCTGGCAGTCCACGGCTGTGGCCTTCTGTCGCTCGCAGAGCTCGGGATGACAGTGTGCTGCCGTCGTCCCAGGTGCTTGCGGCCTTCCTTAGGCGATCCAGCGCAAGCTTCGCCTGATTCGAAACGGGCCGTCTTGCTCGCGAAAGCAGCAGCCAACCTGTCCGAAGAAGGAGGAGTACTGCTGCGTTGCGTGGAAGCGTGCACATTTCTGCACTTGCTCGCTTCCAAACTTCAGTTACAAAACACCACGGAGCGCCGCCTCGTCCATAATTGCCATCCATTCAATGAAAGTTCAATGGAACTTGGCAGCGATCGCCACTCCAGCATCCCGTAACCTCCCCCGAACAGAGAAAGCTTAATCGTACCGGATCGCGGTGTCAATCGTCAAGAATCCCCTTCGCTAGCGCGTTTGACCATGCGAGGGAGCGCGCAGGGGAAACGCAAGACAATCGATCGCCCAGCAGGCAGAGAAAGATGGAGACGAAATGTCCCACACGCGACACATCCATCACACAGTGTTGCCTCGAAGCAGGAGCACATCATCAGGAGCACATCTCCCAACCTTCAGGGCAAAGCAAAACGTACGCAGATGACGCAGCGCCGTACTTCGGGTTCCACAAGACGCAGCGCCCGTCATCATCACGTCACGATCAAACCAGAAAGACGAGATCGCCAGACAACGGACACAGCGTATCTCGCATGCTCTGCCTGGTCCGTCCTCGCCGCTGCCATCGCCTTCGTCTTCCCCCATCTGCGGCGCGGCCAAGCTACCGGAGAAGGTGGAGGCCGGCCCCGTAGTCTTGAGGACCCGTCGGCCCGTAGATCGCCTGCCGCCGAGCACAGAGATGTCCGAGTATGTGCTTGCATCGACAGACGTGACTTGGCGAGGAAAGAGACGGGCTCTATCGTCAGATGAACCATGGCAGCACTGCAACAACCCAGACCGTGTGTGCAAGATGGCCCCTTTCAAGTGCATACGCCATCAAGCCTCGGGCAACCGAAGCTTTTCACTCTAACGCCTTGCTTCATCGGCTTATCGAGACGCGGCAACCCTATGACAGGGCAAGGACATACTTTTGGGATGATCCTGTTCCAGCCACGTTAGCAACGAGGGACTGTAGAAACACTGCGAGGCCTTTTCAAAAGCAGGGAGACAGTGCCTAGCCTGACGTTGGGACAGCGATCAAGTCGTTTGCTTTCTCGCGTCCCACAGACAACAAATCACAACGGCGGCATCACGAACCTCAGGCGACACGCAACTGTGAACAGGGTATATGCATGCGGCGATATGTCGGCAACGCCTCCTAGCTACCTAACGACCATGTGACTCCGGGCGCCGATACGATTACGCTTCCCACATTCCCAACTGAGCACACTCACCCCCCTCGTCACGGCCCATCTCCATCCATCCTAACACTCATGTGATCATGTAAGACAACGTCGAAACAAAAACGAGAAAGAACAAGATTAAAGGACCTCATACACCGCCGCCCATAAAGGCAGCAAGGTCGTCCAGTTCCAGGAGCTGGCGCTCAAAGGCCGAGCAGGAGCTCAACAGCCGTCATGTCTTTGCGGCACAGGGTTGGAGGGACGCTCGGTTTCGGTGGGTTCCATTTGCTGTTGCTTCGGAGGCGCTGGCACCGCCGATGGCGAACGCTTG